GAAGCAAAAGACGGTTCAGCTCCATGACCCGTTAGTAACTCTCATGAAACGTCAACAGAACATAAATTTTTTTAAGGTTTCGAAAAATGGAAAAAATATCACTTTTAGGGCTTAAGGACACGCTTTTTTTAAAAAAGACCTAAAAGAAGCAGGCAACATTTTTTTCAATAGATTAATACATGTTTTCGGTGCTATTTTCGTTATTAATTTTGTGAAACATTCAGTATATAATCAAAACTTTTTTTGTATTTATTCTGACAAACTAACAATGCTAATTTTGTCATTTTCTTCAGTGTTACTGCACAATTCAATAGTTTTACTTGACTGTCGCACATTGACTTCGTCACGTGTTTTCCTCTCATTTATCCATTAGGGTTGTCAGTTCTACATACTGCTTTGACAGTTTTTCACATTCAGTTATATATAAAATGAACTATTTTAATATAGCATGAAACTCTTCTGCGGTATGGATAGAACAAATTAAAGGACAATTTGATTTTTATGAGAAGGCGTTTATCAATAATGTCTTTTAAGCTCCTTTTAATTCATTAGTGTGCATGTGCTTTATGATTATCTTTGTATTTCTGGCACTAATTGATTAGAACAACTTTTGAAGTATTGAAGTAGTTCATGTTAATATACCTATAAATTATATATCTTTTCCGCTGTTTTAAAAGTTACGCCAGGTAATCTACTGTTGTCCTTACATCTGTGTTGATAAACAAGAAAATATGACTTAGGTGAAGCTACCAAGGGAATATAAATTCAAACATGATTAACACTGAAGATGATTTATTTTAAAAGCCTGCTGCTGGCTTATTTTTTGGAAATCAGCAAATAATGATGTGTGAGGGGTTTTAAAGCTATATCTTATGAAATATTTTCATACAATTTTTAGAATGCTAAAATTATTTATGTTTTTTTCTCTATAATCTTACGGTCGATTCTCGACAAAATCGTTACACATAAATGTTTTGTTATTGATCACACACGAATATTGTAAGTGCACAGAATGAAATGTTCCTGAACAAAATATTTCCTGCTATATCTTAATTAGAATTTTAACGATTTACCAATGATTTCGCACATGAGCCATTTGGTCTCAATGAAGTTAACTAACGTATTTCTTTCATACAGGTATTTTTGAAAGTTTTCCTTTTCAAAATTCAACCGATACTTTTTGTGAACCACAGGCAGCAGAAATATAGCTTTATATGAGTCGCGTCACGACAAAACCAACATAATGCGTTTGCGACCAGCATGGATCCTGATCAGACTGCGCGGATGCGCAGGCTGGTCTGGATCAATGCTGTTCGCTTTCCTACCCTATTACAAATAGAGAAAGCGATAGCGAACAGCATGGAGTCTGATCAGACTGTGCGGACGCGCAGGCTGGTCTGGATCCATGCTGGTCGCAAACCCACTATGTTGGTTTTGTCATGACACGGCTCAATTATACTGTTACAAATTCGTGAACATACCAATGGAAGCTTTGCGTTTATAGAATTTGTTTATTAATTACGAATTTGATATTCGACGTTTTTATTCAACACCATGTACTATCACTTACTGACAAATGAGATGAGATGTTTAACCTAATGAACGATTGATATTTATGTTTTGTTTTGTTTTACTGCGAACCAACTGGTTTTTAGTATTTCAAAGTGAGAGCTACACGCGTCATCTTTCTGAAATTTGATACAAAGCAGTTTTCATAATATAAACCTATACAACGCGGTCACTAAACCTGTTGCCTATGAAAAATTGGCAGTACCGTTTTAAAAAAACTTGTGATATAGAAAGAATTCGTGCTGCTTATATGAATGAAAGTACGAACATTTGTTATTCAATACAATTAGTTAACTTTTAAACTTTAGTGATTCTATTTCTCTCTATTTTTCAATATGTTATCAACACATTTCACATCAAGGCATTGAAATAACTGGAATTTTGTCAGCCATTAATTCATTTTTAAATGTATCGGAAGCATCAGTAATCACAACGTTTCAGCGCAAAGTAATGTATAAAAAGCCGCGGAATACGAGTAGTAGAAAAATGCAAACGAATATACAACATTGAAGTAAAAAAACACCCAAAACGTCAAGGTTGAAAATATTCGAGCCGCAAACAAATATACACAATTGAAAACTAAAATAACTCCTAAAACGGCAAAATAGCAAATATTCGTGCCGAAAACGAATATATAAAATTAACTAAAGAACGACCAAAACAACCAAATAAAATAATTGCTTGCTGGGTTTGATTGCGCCTGTTCATCACTATTAACATAGGAGGTATATGCAATCTACTGTCCATGCTCCCCAGCACCGCTTTAAGCAAAAACATAAGCATATTGTTAACCTAGTTTCGAAAAGTTCTTACTAAAATAACATGTTTAACAAACAATTAAATTTGATTGTTATTACCATAATATTTCATATTTCATGCAATATATTGTCACATGCGTCTCATTTGTTACACTCACACATTTTTAAAGACTGAAATTTACTGTTCCTAATGAATTATTGCAATGTTATAGCGTCTGTGGTACACTAGTTAAAATCAATGGTTAGATCTTCACAACATCACTTCGATGACTTAGCAAATATTGCTGTATCTGATTGCCATTTCGCAACATGACTGATTTAATGGCATTTTTGGTAATAAAACCGTTGAGTCTGATTAATAAAGTTAATGATTAATAACTGTTCGATTAATTTTGCACATATTGCGATGAAATGATCTTGTTAAAGTAATACAACATCCCTTCACATCTTTTATTCACTTTATTCATGCTTCATGAAGAAATTAATAAATTTAATTCCATTCTAATTGAATTTAATGATGAAAATACCGATCAGACAAATCATATGGCATCGAGCATTTCCTATTGGCGATAAAATGATTCATATCAACTTAAGAATTGATTTAAAAATGAAAAAGAACTATTAGTCAAGTTAAATTGCCAAGTTAACCGCTTGAATGCATTATTGGCCTGGGCAGCAAGATAAAGATCATATAACCAATTATAAGGATAATATGACCAAGTAAAACGGTCAAAAGCTTATATATCCTGAGCAGCAAGATATGGATCATATAACCAAATATGAGAATTATATGACCAAGTAATACGGTTGAGAATTACATAACCAATAATACTTTATAAAAGGCCATATACATTTAATCTGCTATGAGTCTTTATCACAAATCCACAATAGTAAAAAAAATGAATTCTTTAGTAAACGTTTAGGTCAGTTCAAACAATAAGCATCCGTGTACAAAGATAATACAAACGTCACATTTGTCAAAAAAGAAAAGAAAAAAAAAAAGGACAGAAAAAAGAAAAATTATTTTGAATTTTTTACATATATTTCTGTTATCTAGAGTCAACAAGATCTGGATTAAACCTGACTTCCGGTATTTTTTTTTCAGATTGATTCTTTTCGATTATTATATTTTCGTTCTATTTCAAACAATAATTTATTATCAATGATAATTACGAGTATTCTATCACAAAGCATGCACATTTTTGTGAAATGTCTTGTATGTTCTCTCCGTTTTATCTTAAATATCTCTGAACTTCTGGCTATTTCGATTACAGTCGGTTATGTTTCATGCATGCACATAATAACTCACCTTGAAAAATGTCAAACTGTTTGCCTGCGATCCCCGCGAAAGAATTTACAAAAAATGTCGAACATGTACGTAATGGATCAAAACTGTTTTGTCAATAAATATCAGAAAGTTATTTTTTTTTACATTAGCATCCATTTAGATTATCGGAGCGTTCTAATTATTAAACATTAATGTAAATTAAGTTGAAAAACATGCCCACCGCAAAAGAAAGATGTCATGTATAAATTTTGACTTTTCATCATGCTTTTTCTTAAGAGACCGTTTCATTTAGCGACCGTTTTGAGTGTTTCCCTTGCGCGGTCGCTTTATACACGTTTGACGTAATATTTAGCAACATTAACATATACGAGAGACAAACATGTAATAAAAGTTGTTTAAATGATTAATTATTAAAATGAGTTACAGGCTATTGCACAGGTGATCTGTATTCAGATATGGACCCCCTTTCCGAGGTTTGACTGTACACGTGTATATACACAAATACAGAGAATTCTCTAACACGTATGTTTAAAATCATTTTTGTTTAGAAAAACATAGATATTATACAAAACGTTCAATTTATGAAGATGGCATTTAAGATTATTTTTATGAGAGTTATTAATCTACAATATAACAATACGCAAGACTCATTTTGTCCTGATTGATAAATATTTTTCAATGACACCACAATTTTTCTCTAATAAAAAAATACGTTAGAGACTTGGCAGAGACGTACAGTATAAATTACTTCTGATAACTATGGAAAGTTTGTCATTTGAAATATTAATTTCCTGATAAGAATCACTCGATGAATTTACATGAAAAAATGACTACACGTTTGAGAGGTACGGTTTTAATTATTTAAATTGTTACAATGTAAAAAAATATTTTCAGGTTGAATTGAAGACTTAATATGTTTAGTGATATTTTCTCCATAATTTAACATTATTGGTTACAGGTTATGTTTTATTAACATCAGACAGCGTTTTGTTTTAGGTCGAAATGGTGTCTGAGATGTCTTCTTTCAAACTTATAACGTACTTATTTATCAATTTTCCATGTAGACTTTTCGCAAACGGTAAGACCAAAAATTACAGTTTTGTTACATGTTATATCAACTTAACAGGTAATTTCATGTTCAGATTTTTAGATGATTGAGATTTTAGAATGGTCAAAACATCATAAGTCATGTCCACATGTATCTCTATCCTTCGTAACCCTTTCCACGCTAAATATTCCTTCTTTCATTCTAGACAAATCCATTTCATAATAATAGGGACATTTTATATGTACTGACAGAATAGAACAGCGAACAGTTCAGACCATGATCAGACGGCCGTAAATTTGGCACGGAGCTCAACTTAAATAAATGTTTTTGTTTACAGAACACATTGGACACGGCATTTGATGCTGGAGGAAAAGTGAGTGTTGGTCTTACAGCAACAACGATCGTGTCACAATGGACCTGGGCTGCCACACTTCTCTATTCCTGCACTGTAGCGAGTAAGGTAAAACTAAAATATATTTGTTTGTATCTTTCTTCAATGTCTTGGTGTTGAAATCCAGATGACCTGGTAAAAACAACAACAACAACAACAACAAACAACAACAACAACAACAAAAACAACAACAAAATAAACATTTTCCGCCTTGTAAAATGATAATGAGATAGTGCACATGCACATGCATATGTTTTGCTTTATTTTGTATTGTAAAAGGGCTGTTTTAACTACAAAATTCACCATATGTTTGCATAATCTGTTAAGCTATTTGTTCAGTTGACAAACAATCGTTTGTTATTTACAACTGCAGGAACTACTAATCTATCAAACACAAGTTTCCTTTAACCCTGTTGCTATCCATTTAAAAAAAGATGAAAGATTGTCGGTCTAACAACTCTTTGTTAAATTTGTACGATAAATTTGATAAAAACATAACTGTTATGTCAGAAAATTTTTTTTTTATGTTTCGGTTGCTTACCTTTTAAAAAGGTTATTGCAAAAAAAATAAAAACCGCTGTCGAAACGGGTTTAAAAAAATTTCAGAATAAGTAGTGTAATTTTATTTGATCTCCCTTTCAACACCCTCCTTAAAATTTAAAACTAGGAAAAAACGAATTCAAAAAAAAAAAGAATTTAAACTAAAGGGTAAAATAAAAGACATGAAATGGGGTTTGCATTTAATCTGGAACGAAATTTCATAATTTTGAATAAAAAAATTTTTGATAATTAAATAATGAAATCTAATTTTTTATTTTGAAAGGAAATAAAAAATTTCATTTTTTGAACCGACATTTCGGGACATTTGAAATATATGTCGTCTATATTAAATTGTTTTTATAATGCATACAAACACATTAATGACATTTGCAACCGATTTCCATTGTTTATTAAACACGCATTTTTTGTTGCCCAAGTATCATTAACGCTACATGCCTACAGATGAGTCAACAAACTTAAGAAAAATGTACTAAGATGTTAGGAAAAGTAAAAAGTTTCAAGTAATATTTTACATATTATGTGCCATTAATGACTGATTTTTCAGTATTTACAACTATATTTCTACTACGTTTCTAACGCAGTAAAGGCTTTTTATGCATAGTTTGACCATTTTTAGGTAAATTACGTGGTTCGTAAGTGCCATTGATAATGTGTAAATTGCTTCCTTTTGGTTACTTCACAATATTACAAATCAAATACATTTTTGAAAGTTTTCATGATAATAACCATGAATCTGGAGGCTTGTTGCTTTAATATTAATATCAATTAATATACATTAATATTTCTATGAATGTGAAAGATTGTGAATTTAACACATTGATCAACGATTGGTGGCAGGCATTAAAGGAAATGTTACCCAGATGGTATTTTTTCCAGCTCCCTTTCATTTTGATTTTATTCGTTTTTTTATTCAGTATGACAAAGGACCACAAGCATATAGCTCTGTACAAAATCATAAATTTATACATATACAAATTTCATATTTACAGTACGGGATAAGCGGTCCGTTTTGGTATGCTTCGGGAGCGACGATTCAAATCCTTTTGTTTGCCATGGTATCCGTCCAGTTAAAAGTCCGTGCACCTGGAGCCAAGACATTCCTTCAAGTGATTCGGGCAAGATATGGCGCCACTACACATAAAGTGTTTGTCTTCTATGCCCTCATGACGAATATCATTGTCACTGCAAACGCCATGTTAGGTAATGAGGCTTTACACCTCTAAATATGTTTAAAATATCATTGTTTATTTCATATTAAAACATTTTTAATTGTAATTTATCAATGTTTAATTGTGTAGCAAAGCATATAACACGGACCGTTTCGTTGCACAACAACGTTATTCCCGCCATTAGCGGTCAGGTTTTTCTGTCGTCTGCAATTGTGAGATGAGAAGACGAAGCTCAATCATCGTAAAATATCTAATAACAATACTGGTGCTAAAATTATGTCAGTATTTTCTATTTATTAAAATTACACAGTCATGTTTCTTTGTATATAATTATTAAGTAATGTTCCTACAAATATTCCAAGGCCAAAAGAATATTTGGTATCATGTTTCGTGTAGAAATGCCTCCCAAATTTTAATTCACTTTCCCAAAGGGTTATACAGTATATATTTTGTGAAAAAACTTTGCTTTTAAAAGAATTTAAAAGCCAAACTAAAAAATTGTTGTGGATTTAACAAAAAAAACCCCGAAGAAAATTTAAAAAAATAATGACTTGCTTTGATCAAAAATCGTAATAAAAGCTGTAATTTAGCATAAAAAGGCGTTTTTTTTTAGTGCAAGCAAACTCAAGAGTTCTACGTTCGATTTAGGTTGATAAAGTGAATGGTTGCCACGAGCATAAAACATTCTTGTAAACACTAGAGCAGATATATAAAACTCTTGAGATCTTTGTAAGCCATTCAATATGTTAGACATTCGATATGCTAGACATTCAATATGCTAGACATTCAATATGTTTGGTGTTGGTTAAAGGTCTCCTTTTCTAAAAATATTATCAACAGGTCTCATTTTCGTATAATAACATTAACAGGTTTTCTTTCTGTGTGCTTGTTGTGTCACCACCACCAAAGAAAGATTTTAATAGCTAAGGGAATAACAAACAAAATGTTAATGGTAAAGGTTATAATTAATGACAAGATTAAATTGTTCAGGGACTTAAATTATTAAAGAATTAATGGATTTGTAAATAACACCATTTAACAAGTCAAAATTTAACATATAATGATCTCAGATTAATTGTTTGTGAGATAACTATTTAAATTGTACGATAAAACAACAATGGAAACGTCTTTTTGATGAACTCGAGTTAAAAGCCACATTAAAAAAAGTCTTTGGAACATTATCTTCGAAGAAGTCTAGTTAAAAGCCCCACAAAATGTTCTTTGTAACACTATGCTAACTTGAATTTGTTATTCATCAGTAAAATTAATTAACCGATTAATATCTTAACATTTCGCAGAAATAGAAAAATAAGCCAGTATCTATAATACTAAAATACGACTATCGTGATCTTTAAGCAGACGACAATTAATTATATCAAGGTGTTGAATTTTGTTCTTTAAGAATTGATTGATTCATTCCAAATATAAAACGCGGAAAACGTGACAGAACCTCTGTTCTTATTTCTTTTAGAAATTAGCTGGAAATGTATACTTTGTCATTATAATTTTACCTCCAAACGATCTTAAAGTCTCATGACGACTTCAGTAATGAAGTAAGGTCTCCATGTGATCAGTTTTATCCAATTGCAATACTTGGTAAAATATATACTCTACTTATAATTCACTCAGTCAGTCAAATTGGTATATTCACATGTACATTGTACATTATTGGTATACCTATGCCATTACATTTATTTTAATTCGATTGTATTGAAAGCTATAAGCTTATTGAAACACTCTAAATCCGTTCCTGAAACCAATCATTACTTAGCAATGAGTGTAACGTTTCTTGCTCAAGGAACCTGACTGGGTTTAGAAATACCCGACAAGCAATACCTTTGTCATTATATCTAAATGGTATATTTAGGTACGCTATTTCAAATTTAACAAGTAATGATTCCCTGGCAATTAAAGACAAAACAGTATGTACTTAATGAAGCTAAGACAAACATGTTACAAGCTTCAAGAACGACAACAAACTAATTATTTCTTAATTCAAAGTAATTACATATTGTTATGGAAGTGTACTGTGGTGAAAATGGTCTGGTGATGAGACACTGTCTATGCCTTGTCCGATCAATTACTTAAATTGTACCTTATGTGACTTTGTATGGACATTGTTCATGGTCAATAGATCTAGCACATGTTGATTTAAAGTAGTAAGTCAACGATCTAGGTCACTGTGACATAGACCACTGAAAACTTGTCAGACCAATAACTAGAAAACGTCATTTTCTATAGTTCTAACTGCAGGGGTTGTTAACTAATTAATGACCCCCTAATGTCTTTTAGCTCAGTAGGCCAAAGGTCGAGGTCACCGTGACCTTGACAAACACTCAAAGCTTGACTTTTAATAAGAGATTGTTTTTTGTTGTTTTTCTTAATGATGAAGTTAGTCAAAAATAAGAAATAACTCCTACTTTTTTAAAAGTAAGCAAGTTAAAGGTCATTTTCATTGCGGGACCCACCATTAAATTAACTAGGGGCCATGACAAACAGACTAAAGGTTTTACTGTGTATGTTGCCACGACTAGTTAATGACCCACATTGATTTACAGATCATTAGATTAAATGTTAGAGTCACAGTTTACATTGGCAATGGCGAGGTTATGACTCATATTAAATTGTATTTGAGATCATTAGACTGATTGGGTCCAGCTACGCGCGCATGAATTACTCTCTTAATCAAAAACAAGAGATTCCCTTTTCAATCATAGTTATTTATATTTGCTATCGTATTATTACGTATTAATATTGCAAGTGCGCATGCTTTAAAGTAATCACCCCGTCCGTGCTTTACCTTTGTGCCCCTATTCTGTTTTTGTATTTGGTATCCTGCTGGGCTCCTTACTGGAGGTGCTGTGTTGCTGGTCGTGTGTGTGTGTGGGGGGGGATGGCGTTCATTGAACACCGTCCTTCCTTGTTGAATTTGTTTTCATGTTTTATAAAATATACCCACAAGTGTAAAAGTATGTCATGGTGTCTGCAAGTGATGAGTGGCAAAAGTGTCATATAAGTGTCTTACAAACCCATTCATTAGTCTGACCGTCTCATATGATTTGAACTGATATGCAATCTTTTATATGAAGGAGGTTCGGCAGTGCTGTCAGGATTAACTAAAGACATGGGGGTGGAGTACGCCACAATGTTGATGACAGCTGTAATTGGGACGTATACTATGATTGGAGGGCTGGGTGCCACGTTTTATGTGTCATTCTTCAACACGGCTATGATATGTGTAATGATGCTGGTATTTGTTATTCGTGTCTATGACGACCCGGATAGTGATGATAACCCACTAGGTTAGTAGTAACATGATATATTTTATATTCAAATATGTGTCAAACACATTTCGTGAAGAAACAGTGTTAAACAAAATAGTACCGTTAATACAATTTTTTTAATTTTTACGTTTTTTCCCATTTGAATGGCATGGAATTATGATCACAATGGCATGACCTTTTAATTAAGAATAGCTAAATTTCCGCCCTCATGTTAAACTTCTATTATATTATTATACTAGTGTTATTGGTACATGTGGCGACCGAAAAATGCCCCGTACATTTTATTAAAGATGTCATATTTTCGATCCTAGAAAGTTGGTCAGCACGTCATTATTTTGATGTGTGCTTTAAGGCACTTCTATTTGATACTTTTCTAGTTGAGTGATTCCAGAATTCCAATTTGATAACTGTATAAACACCCTTAGGATATACAGCGTTCTTTTTAGATTTGTCTTTTGACGCCTCATCTGTCGAGATCGAGATACATAATCTTTAAGTAAAATATTTTATCTTAGAAATGCATTGAAATCCATGAAATTCTTACTGAATATGTTTAATTTGAATGAAATAATGAATAAACTATGTATGGGAAGCTGCATTCCCTATATCGGGTCAAGTAAAATTGGTCTTTTCTTAAAAAAACTGCCAGTTTTTTTTTAATGACACTATATATTCATATGGTGACTACATATAGTGTGTAGAAGTCAAAACATATCATATCTACCTTAAATGAATTCCAAACATGTTTATTTTATACATACAAAGAGAATGTGTAGCAATTATTAATATTTTTAAAAATAAAATTTGAGCATAGTATATCTTTAACCATTTTCATGTTCAAATGTTGAAATCTGCTTCAGCCAATGACTTGGGACGTATATCGTAGCTTGCACATTTAAGTATCAGCCATGAACAGGCTCAATGAAACCGAGCCTGTAACAATATCAATTTTGCCGTTTTGGTCGTTCTTCTCTTTTCTTTGTACATTTGTATTACAATTTCTTATTTGTCTCGAGATTTATAGTGAAACATCATTTAAATGTTTCTTTCTTCTACGCTTCAGGTTCAGAGGAAAAGGTATTTAATTACATTGCCTGTAGTGAGGGACCAGAAGGAAACAAAGACAACAGTTTTCTGACCCTAATCTCGAAACCAGGGTTCATGTTTGGAATGATCACAGTTGCAAGTATGTATTTGTGTCGAGCTATATCTGATTTAAGCCAAATAAAACACTCAGTGGCTAACCTTTTTTACAGATAAATCAGTTTAAAGAAGAGAAAAGCGGAAATCACAAAGAACGCCCAATATAACCAGCTTGTAAATGTTGCAGATTCGGTTTATTTGAGCCTGTTCATTGACAATACTAAAAAGTAGAAGTTACCGTCCATGCCCCCCTAGTAACGGCTTATGGTAGATAATTGAACATTGTTAGCGTTGAATAAGTTAAACAAACAATAATGTTTCCTTTTCTCAGTAAATAAATACTTTATTTTAAAAGTCGTGACACAAAATACCTAAGGTCAATGCCTTCGTAGCCCTTGGTCAGCAATCAGATCACACCGTACAATCAAATGGGCAGACAGCTGTTCCAGCGTCCACAGCTGTACCAGTATATACATGTCGGCGCGGGGAATACAATTGACGTACGGTAAGTATTCATCTATTTTTAACATATCCCAATGTTTTCGAGTAAATCAATGTTATGGATTCATAGTCAACATCCAAAGGAGCATGCTAACAAATTCCTGGCCCTGTGCAAGCTTTACTTCACATGAATTTTGATTGAAAATAACCACACTATCCGATGAGATGCGGTATTTTTAGTTTGAAGTCACAAAAACTTATATTTTCTCATGATAATTAATCATTTTTTCATACGATTCGTAAACGTCAACATTTTGTCATTAAATATTCCAAACCATACCTCCAAAAAAGTTTTTCTGTTAAAGTTATAAGGTATTTAAGTTTGTGTGTCATCAAAATTTTAGTAACGTCATCAGCTGGTCGCCTCTTTTTAATGATAACATCGACAGCAATTCATCGGCAAGAACGAATAACGCTGAAAGCTGTTCAAAGAAACAATTACATGTATTAACAACAGCGCTTTTGTCCTACAGTAACTAGGAAAGAGTAAAACTTTTTTGTTAATTTAGAATGTTACTTTATTCACGATACTTTCTAATTATATTATTTTTATTATTACTTTCTATTATTTGTTTTATCTTAGGTTAGAGACCTTGATCTCCATTTACCGCACTGTATTTCAATATAAAAAGGTAGCAAAACCTATTAAAGGGACCCAGTAAGGTTTTTTTGACATGACGGGACTGGAAATAATTTTTTGAGATTATTTCTCCATTTGATGTAGATATATACTAATAACTTATATGCAAAATTTCCGATCATTAGCTTGCTCCGTTTTTCCAGAATATTATAATAGTGAAAAAATGACCCAAAATTGAAAAAAGTTTAAACGCTTTTCACTCAAATCGGACTGAGAATAGCACAAACATATTATTTTCAATGTATTTCTCCTATATTTCTTGGTTTTATTTTATTAATATTTATGTTTTAGTGCTCATGTTTTTTTTATGTGAAAAAATAAAATTTCATGTTTTTAGGCTTATAAACCTCAGTGGAGTTCCTGTAATAGGTTTATGAAATGTTTAAGTCAAAAGGCAAAGGCAAATTTAACGCTTAATATGAATATTCAGTCTTGTAAATGAAGGCATCCATCAAGTGTTATTATAAATAAAGGCATATAATGGACAAGTCCTATGCAGTGAATGGCTAGTAACCCGAGATATGAATGTGCATGGAAAAACATGTTGTTATTTATCCTTGAAATCTGTTTTAATGTATAGTGCAATAGAAATAATAACCATTCTTAAAAATTATTTAAATTTTTATTTTTTAAATAAATCATTTTATATGGCAGACATCTCGGGTTACACATCCATTTACTGCATGGGACATGTCTACTATATGCCATTATTTATAATAACACTTGATGGATTTAGTTATAATACAGAGTATTCGTATTAAGCGTTAAATTTGCCTTTACTTTCTTTGAATTTAACATTTCAGAAACATATTAATAGATCTTGCTACCTTTTTATATTATAATAATAATAATAAAAATAATATCTTTATTTAAAGAAGGTTATACATTAATAACATACAATAACAATCATATATATCTTATTTCCAATGTGGCCTTCTGAAATAGAAAACAACAACAACAACAGGACATGCATAGGAAGAAAAATGAATGTATAATATGTAATTTTTAGAATATTACAACTCATATACTTTCTACAGACAATTTGTTTTAACATATACGTATATTGCATCATTCGTTCGTTCGTTCATTCGTTCGTTCATTTATTAATTAATTAATTCATTCATTCATTCACTTACTCATTCATTCATATGAACAATATCAATATTGAAATACAGTGTGGTAAATGGAGATATAGGCCTCTAACCTAAGATACAACAAATGATAGAAAGTAATAATAAAAATAATATAATTAGAAAGTATCATGAATAAAGTAATATTTTAAATGAACAAAAATGTTTTACTTTTTCCTAGTTACTGTAGCACAAAAGCGCTGAAAATTGTTTCTTTGAACAGCTTTCAGCGTTATTCATCCTTGCCGATGAATTGCTGTCGATGTTATCATTAAAAAGAGGCGAACAGCTGATGACGTTACTAAAATTTTGATGACACTCAAACTTAAATACTTTATAACTTTAACAGAAAAGCTTTTTTGAAGGTATGGTTTGGAATATTTAATGACAAAATGTTGACGTTTACGAATCGTATGAAAAAATGATTAATTATCATGAGAAAATATAAGTTTTTGTGACTTCAAACTAAAAATACCGCATCTCATCGGAAAGAGTGGTTATTTTCAATCAAAATTCATGTGAAGTAAAGCTTGTACAGGGCCAGAAATTTGTTAGCATGCTCCTTTGGATGTTGACTATGAATCCACAACATTGATTTTCTCGAACACAGTTTGGACATGTTAAAAATAGATGATTACTTATCGTACGTCAATTGTATTCCCCGCGCCGACATGTATATACTGGTACAGCTGTGGACGCTGGAACAGCTGTCTGCCCATTTGATTGTACGGTGTGAGATATCATTTCATGAAATACATCTCCTTCAGAATCGATATCAATGTGTTTGTAGCTCTCAGTCAGTTTTATCAGATACGTGAAATACGATATCAGTGTCACTGTCCAGTAAGTACATTATGTGTAAACGGAAGTGCCAACATATGGGGTTCATGTGCCTTTTCTTTGATCTTAATGTGGCACTTTTCCACATCTATGTGGACGGACGTACTGACGGACGGACAGACGGACGATCAATCTGTTTTTCTCTATTTTATCAGCCTGAACCGTCATAATATTTTCCGTCTCCATTAATACCGTCTGATTTTCTATTATATCAATTCAACTCGTTAATATTTAGTACATCCTTGAATTAGATGAAGAAAAATGACCAAACGGTGTCCATGCACTAATGCCATCAGACACATTCATTTCATTGAATAGGTATCATAATGAGTGTTTGTCAGAAAGTCAATCGTAACATGATTTTTGAAAGCATAAGTTAAATAAAGAGACAGTGGAAAATGCAAAATCTTTGAGGCCCCATCCCAGCACCGGCTTACTTGTATAAAATCAATGGTCCCGAATGACCACATTGAAATGAGGTTGGGCAACCTTTTACATTGAGGTAGGGCTATTGAGGTCGGGGCAATCTGTTACACCTGTCACAAAGCACCACCACCACTACAACAACAACATTCGTTTATATTATTAATTATAAAGATTTTTGACAGGTTACATGCGGCTCGTGTTTAATTTCCAAACAACTGTTTATATATGATGAAATAATCTGTTTAAATCTTCATAACGAATTTATAATGCAGCAAAATTCGTTTTTTTAAAAAGTGAGATTTCTTCATAACTTGACATCAGCCGTGTATACAAATCGATATAAACGCCATGATTATCCAATGAAAAGCGACGTTACAAACGAGCAGTATTATTATGTACTAATGAAAGAGATTTAATCACATATGTTTTATCCAAATAATGGCATTTTCCTTCATTTAAAATGCTAATATTTCCCTAGCTTTTCATCAGGTTGTTGATCTGGGTATGGCGTGTAAACAGGTTGTTATAAAGACAACGAAAAGATTGAACGAGTTTCGGAAATGTTTCAAGATTATTATTACTAATTGCAAATTGGACGAGATCATAAAAAAGATCATTGTCCTTAGATAAGATAAATAGCTTTCAAGAATTTTTTTTACAATCATTATGCCAAATATGAGTGTTATGTTTTTTGCTAATTAATATCTTGTATTAACTGATGTTTTACAAATGATAACATCTAACAAATTATCACTATGTATGCATCAATTATCTTTTTGTTTTCGTTCATCGACACAGTTCAAAAACTAGAGGGAAATATTATTAAATATATCAGATTGTAAATGTCCGCTTATACTCACAGAATAGAGAAAACATAACCCTTAAAGAACGCATAAAACGACAACATTGAAAATGTTGCAGACACGGTTTGATTGAGCCGGTTCATGGACGGTACTGGAAAGTACAAGCACCGGCTTAAGCATAATTCAACATTTAAACATGAAAATGGTGAAGTTTTGAATTTAGAAACTTTCGCAAATGTGTTCATACGACAGGTATCATGCCCTCCTTATTTCCCTTATTCATGAACTAAATGATCAAGCTGATTCATTTTAGAACATTTAAAAAATGTTTTTATAGCTTTTTTTATTAAAAGTTTGCAATAGCATACGAGTATCGAACTCAAATGTCACGAGTAGATTAAATTTTTGCAATATGTGAACTTCGCTGACCTTGGTTCTTATTTTAAGACACAAATTATATCATGGAAGACAATTTTTACATATACAACACCTGATAACTCTTTTAATTGTCATGTCACGTGCCCTGACAATGTTTATTATTAGAAATTACCGTTTCGATTGAACGAAAGACATGACTTTTATGGACTACTTTTGATATATTACTTATATAATAGTAATCGCATAATATGCTCAAACTTGATATTAGAAAGTATTGATAATTGCTACACAATCTCTTTGTTAATACAAAATAAACAAGTTTTGACTTCACACAAAGTGCATATGTCATGTTTTAAACTCTACACATTATTGGTGGACACAAATATGAATATATAATGTCATTAAAAAAACTGGCTGTTTCGTTTTAAGAAAGAATCAACTTTACTTGACCCGTAAATGGAAGTGCAGCTTCCTATACATAGTTTGCACATTCATTTATTCAAATTAGGCAGATTTAGTTAGCTAATAATTCATTCATTTTAATCAATTTCTGGGGTAAAAATATTTAACGCAAAGATAGGCATAGTGTATCTTTAACACCCAACTACCAATACACCGGTACTACAGACTTTTGGACATAAACTTATATGGAACGCCTGGACTGTCTTATGTGTAGAATGACTGATATACATGGTTAAATGTCATTCTGTTGAGTCCGAGATACAATATGCTTGGTCAAAATCCCAATATACTGGGTGGAAATCCAAATGCGCTCAGTTATTGAAGTGTAATGTTGTGTGGTGATTACATTTTAATCAGTCAAGTCAATGTATTGTCGGGTGCCTTAGTCGGTCTGTTCAGTTCTTAAAACAAACAGGCATGTGGTAACACACAGATGATGTTCGGTGCAGAGGTCATTATGTTCAGTAGTGAACACAAAATGTTGTGTGATACCGTTATTATGTTCTGTTCAGATGATATACTGTTCGGTGCAGAATTCATTATGTTCAGTTCAGATGATGTTCTGTTCGGTGCAGAGGTCATTATGTTCAGTAGTGAGCACAAACTGTTGTGCGATACCGTCATTATGTTCAGTTCAGATGATATACTGTTCGGTGCAGAAGTCATTATGTTCAGTTCAGATGATGTTCTGTTCGGTGCAGATGTCATTATGTTCAGTAGTGAACACAAACTGTTGTGTGATACCGTCATTATGTTCAGTTCAGATGATATACTGTTCGGTGCAGAAATCATTATGTTCAGTTCAGATGATGTTCTGTTCGGTGCAGAGGTCATTATGTTCAGTAGTGAACACAAAATGTTGTGTGATACCGTTATTATGTTCAGTTCAGATGATATACTGTCGGCGCAGAAGTCCATGTGTGACTCAAATAGGGTTCCCGTACTTTTATATGTTGTTTTATATTTTAAATTTCGTTTGCTGTGTCCATTTGTGACTATTATAGGTTACCAAACAGATAAATTTTAAGTTATATTTACGGTGGTCATGTGTTACTTTCACAGGCTACCCTTACCCATATTTTAAGTTTTATATACTGTACCAATTATGACTGTCACAGTATAGTATAGTCATGAATTAACTAAATAAAATATCCATTGGGTATTTAAAAGTCCAATTTATGAAAATAACGTTCTTAAGCCCCCGATGATATTTACAGGGAAAAAAATTGTTTTGGCAATATAGTGGTCATTAGCCTCGACGTGACCTATGGAAATTAGTCGCTCCCATCTTGTTGCCCGAAAATATCCGAATGAACCCAACATAATTGTGGTATCACACAACAGTTTGTGTTCACTATTGAACATAATGACCTCTGCACAGAACAGTATACCATCTGAACTAAACATAAGGATAGTACCAAAAAACCACTGAACATAACAACATTTGCACCGAACAACACATTGACTTGACTGAAGAAGATATAATCAGCACATACCATTTAACAGTTCTATTTCACGACTGAACAAAAGGAATAAAGCACCCAACAGCATGTCATTGCAACTGAAAATAATAAAAGTATCACCCAATAATACACTGCCTCAGCCAAACAAAATGATAGTACCACTCAACTGTTTATTTTCATGGTTGAACATGATGAGAAGAGCACCAAACAGCATATTATTATAACCGCACATAATAACTGTAACACCCTACAACATATCTTTTTAACTCAACATAATTGTGTTACCACATTCCTGTTTGTTTTAAGAACTGAACATAACGACTAATGCACCCGACAATACATTGACTTGACTGAATAAAATATAGTCAGCACACAACATAGCACTTCAATAACTGAGCACATTAGGATTTCCACCCAGCATTTTGTATCTCGGACTCAACAGAAAGACATTTAACCAGGTATATCATTCATTCTTAATATAAGACAGTCCAGGCGTTCCATAATAAACCCCTCCTTTCATCAGATAAACTGATGACGAATAACGTTATTTTTAAAGAGAATATTCCGGACATAACAAATCCATTTTCTTGACGTCACGGAAATAAATAATTGTTGTGTAACGGCATTAATATACATTCTCTACATAGTCGGAAATACTTTTGTTTTTACCGTAGGCAGGATACAACAATGATAGAGAGACTTATCACGTGAATTCCGGTCTGAAACCATTAATGAGCAATTACTTTGAATCAGAAAAGATCATTACAGCAAAGCCATATATATTGATTCTATAAAGAGCACTGTTGATGGTTATCCGAAAACAAAATAATCCGAAATTTGAGCAATTTGTTTGTCACTTATGGTCATTTACACCAGTCATACCGCATAAAAAACATATTGAGTAATACTAACATTAATGAAAACCAAATCTTTAACATCATTGTATGGATTCCAGTGTCTTAATGAGTTTTTATATACAAATACAACTGTAGTCGGGATCGGATCCCACAAATATTTTTGTTAATTCATTGCAGTTATTTTTAAGTTTCTATAGTATAAAACCACTTTTAATAAACAGAAATACCAAACAGATAGATTAATAATAAATAAATAAATAATCATTAAAAAATACATTTGCAGTTTCTAAAAAGAATATTTTATTCTTTCCTTCAATGTTCTCGTCCGTTCCTATTTGGTGACTCTGTATGTAGTCCCTGAGCGATATTGGGACTGCGTTCCTTGAACGTTGTCTGTTGTCCCCCCTGGTTGACATTTGCTCTCATTTTCTTAGTTTTTATGCTTTTTTTCTATTTTAAATATCTTGAAACGTCGTTCCAAATTTAAAATATCTCGGTAGCACATTTTTATCAGTTTTCAGATATATTTGTTACGATTGTGTTGATCAACTTAGAATACCTGGTATCAACAAAGTTCGAACTACGAGTTACATTACAAGCTTCCAATACTTAATTATGTTGAAGATTTAATATTTTTCTTCAGCCGGTGCTAAGGGGCGTGAGGAATTTTGCGCTTACCATTATCTCCTAATCAAAGCGAGTCCGCAATTTTCAGTTTTTATTGCTATCGAGAGATTGAACAATACTGAATATGTCCTCTTTTTAGTCTAATCTATATGTTAAAGGCACATTATGCCTCCGAAATACATATTAATTTAATTCTTAAGAAATGTCGACATGTGTTTAAGTAAGCTAGATGGAGAAAGTAGCGCCTTAAAGGTAGAAAAATGTAAAGAAAGTAGTATTTTGGCTTTTATACAAAATTAACTTACTATAATTTTACCAATTAATAACAGAGGAAAAGAAACAAAGATTCTTTATCTATATGGGAAATGAGTATCTTTTGGAAATAGTAGAAAGTTTTTAAGAAATGAAAATGATAATATTTCATTATTTCTGGAACATAATGAGCTCAACTATTTTCAATGTTTCAAAATTGTGATATTTATTTAAGATCAAGCATTTAATTAAATAATAAAGGATATAATATAAAACTTTATCATTGTCAAATGATTCAAATTTATTATTTAGAACTATGATATAATATGAAGCTATGACAATATTTCCTGATTTCAGGTATTGATATTTCCAAATGAATGACTGCATCTTGGGTTTAAGCTATCGATTTTATGGAAAAATGGAAAATAAATGCATTAAAATGAATTAAATGCAGCGAGGCGAGATACAGGTCAAAGAACATTGCCAAGCAATTAATTTAAAACCAGACACATTTGTCTGATATTACACTATGGATAAATCATTCTATGACAACGAAGTATTGCTAATATGATTTTGATATTTGCAATGTTTTTATTGTTTATTACAGGTGGATTTGGAACTTCATATGTTGACCAGTCGTATTGGCAAAGCAGTGTAGCCGCCAAACCCAGACAGGGTGTGTTTGGTTTTCTAGCTGGTGGACTCGTCTGGTTCTCTATACCCTTTGCTCTAGCCACAACAATGGGTCTGGCGTACATCTCACTGAGCGCTCATCAAAATAAACCTTTGCTCGTCGAGGAGGATGTCGACATAGGTAAGTATGAAACCTTCTCCAGGTTCGAATTAGATCATATAGAGATCCCGGGATTTGACCTCTACCATCTTGATTTCAGAAAAACCCAGATCAAATTAAACATACAGAGTCCTCGGGTATTGGTCATAGGCGTCAAAGGGATTTTCCTATCAATTATGTTATGAATATCTTATTTATTTGTTGAAAAATGATTATAATTAAATACATGAACATAAACTTAAGCTAAATTGAGTATTTACAAAAACTAATTTTTCTGTTTTAGGCACAGCTCCTTTAAAAACATCGCGATTTCCACTTTTGAAGTTTGTTAATATAAAGCCTTAAACATACATGTATTTCTATCTTTATAGCTTAAATCAATATACCGGTCATTACATTCGGCATAATATAAAGAATTTATCGTTTTCGCCTTTATTTACGACACGTATCAACACAAACAAAGTTTCTAATTTTCTCTATACATGTACATTGTATATGTAATACGTTATCGGAGTCCAGTATTTTACCGCTCCGACCTCCCACCTTCATCTCCTTCTTGAAGAGTATTCTTTTGGGATCCGTTGTCATTCATTACAAGGATAGAGTTATCGTTCCTCAGTTAAACAAATGGATTCAGCAAGAAATATGATATTTTTAATTTAATATGACATAAAGCGTAATGAATAAATAATACATTTTGATTAATAGAAAACATCAGTCATTTTCAACGTATACATGTAATGTATGCAAATGTGATATGAATAAATAAGAAGGCAATCAACACACACGGATTGTAATATTCAGATATGAACATATTATCAAGATATATGTACTTTTGGTGGATATTCCCCTCCGTATACATCACTCATTTAAGCTGCATGCCTCTTTTATATGACCTAACCACCTACAAAGTTTAAAGTTGTTCTGCCAGGAACCGTACAGCAGTTAAGTTTTTTACGTCACAGACGGTGTATTCAAGTTTGTGATCAGATTAATTTTTTTAAGTTTATTGGCATGCGCCTTTTTTTAAAGGTAGCAGCATATCATCGGGCAAAGTATTTAAATAATGGAAAATAGAAAGTGTTAGATAATAAAGTTGAACAGTGTAAACATTCATGTTAAACAAAGGCAATTTTTTGTATGAAAAGTTAATTTTGTTGTTACAGTAACATTACAGCATAAAATATAGCACCTTCAGTGGGCCTTTAAATTACATAAATGCAGAGATGTACAAGACACTAAATAAAAATGTTGAAGTGACATGTCGCTTTCTTTTATTTAATTTGTGTTATAATAGCCTAAGTTAAGCGTCGCATTCAGTGCTGTCAGTGCTTTGATCTAAACTGCAATTTATGATAATATCATTTTCTTTTATCATCAAATTGAATTCAATGACAAGTTTCACATGGAATTTAAAACGTTTATTATGAAAATTATGCAAAATAGCCCGTTTATTTGCTTTAAAAATTGGGAGATAGGCTTGCGATACCGTTGCAGCTCTTGAAAATATCGGAATTCAGTCTCGGTTTTAGGAAAATTCTGCCAGAAGATAATAACATCATCTGATATACCTAAGAATTTCAGGTACCCTCCACTACAGTTATTATCGTTCCGATAATAGAAGAATTAAAGAAATACAGAACAACGCGTTAGACTGACACTGAATGGAATAGACGACAAGACACGAAACGGAACGATAACAGAGGAGTTCACGGAATGCAGAACAACGCGATAGACTGACACTGAATGGAATAGACGACAAGACACGAAACACGATAACAGAGGAACTAACGACATACAGAACAACGCGATAGACTGACACTCTATTGAATAGACGGCAAGACACGAAACACGATAATAGAAGAATTAAAGAAATACAGAACAACGCGTTAGACTGACACTGAATGGAATAGACGACAAGACACGAAACGGAACGATAACAGAGGAGTTCACGGAATGCAGAACAACGCGATAGACTGACACTGAATGGAATAGACGACAAGACACGAAACACGATAATAGAGGAATTAACGAAATACAGAACAACGCGTTAGACTGACACTGAATGTAATAGACGGCAAGACACGAACCAGGATAATAGAAGAATTAAAGAAATACAGAACAACGCGTTAGACTGACACTGAATGGAATAGACGACAAGACACGAAACGGAACGATAACAGAGGAACTAACGAAATACAGAACAACGCGATAGACTGACACTGAATGAAATAGACGGCAAGACACGAAACAGGATAATAGAAGAATTAAAGAAATACAGAACAACGCGTTAGACTGACACTGAATGGAATAGACGACAAGACACGAAACGGAACGATAACAGAGGAGTTTCACGGAATGCAGAACAAACGCGATAGACTGACACTGAATGGAATAGACGGCAAGACACGAAACGGAACGATAACAGAAGGAAGTCACGGAATGCAGAACAACGCGATAGACTGACACTGAATGGAATAGACGACAAGACACGAAGCACTATAATAGAAGAATTAACGAAATACAAAACAACTCGTTAGACTGACACTGAATGGAATAGACGGCAAGACACGAAACGGAACGATAACAGAGGAACTAACGGAATGCAGAACAACGCGATAGAATGATACTGAATGGAATAGACAACAAGACACGAAACGGAACGATAACAGAAGAACTAATGGAATACAGAACAACGCGATAGAATGATACTGCATGGAATAGACGGCAAGACACGAAACACGATAATAGAAGAATTAACGGAAAACAGAATAACGCATTAGACTGACATTGAATGGAACAGACGACAAGACAAGAAACGGAAACGGAACAGAAAGGAGGGACGATAACAGAGGAACACAGAACAACGGAATACAGAACAACGCAGAATACTGAACAACGAAATTCATACAAAAACAAAGATGTAAGAGAAAAGAAATAACTGAATAGCACAGTCTACACAAAAAAAGCACGACACACTATAAACAAGACATATAACGGAAAGATCTACCTAGTAACGGAACAAACAGCAAATCAGACATGGAGGGAAGGACGCTTACAATATGACAGAAGATATATAATACATAAACATGTCTCGACAAAAGGGACTAGGCACAGACAAGACATACTTCAGACAACAAGGACTGATAATAGGAGAACTAAATTATATGCAACAACGGAATATTTAAGGACAGCAATAAAAAACAACATGTTCTGAACAGCAACAAAGCAGCAAATGACAAATACAGACAGAAAATATAAACGAAAAATCATGTTATAAATTCAGAGAAAAATGCAATAAGCTGTGATCGAATTAAACGAGAGCATTCTTTCGAGATCCGCTGTTATTAAACAGCAAGCAAACATGAATGTTTAATTTGATTTAAAATAAAATCTTTATTACTGTTATTGGCATTCATTCATTTGAAGAAGGAACAATCTAATAATAAGAATGCAATCAACATACATTGATTAATAACATTCAGTTATAAACATGTCTTAAGATTATTTTGCCATACAGGCTCGGTTCATGGACCAAACTAAACATTACGAGCTACTGTCCATGCCCGCTAGCACCGGCTTAAGTCATGTAATGAGTATAAAATTGTAATTAAAAATATTATAGTGTATAGTAATGTAGCTGCCGCCTGTAGTTAACAAAATGTGTTTGAATTTTGGAAAAGAGTAATTCCCGAATGTGTATGAAAGAACTTTTGATGTTAATGTTTGAGTATTTCCTTAAGAGCGAATCGCGAATTGATCAAATGATTTAAATGTGGTTAAAACCCTTCTTAACCTAGCAGCATAAAAATTTGTTCTGGAACATTTTATTCCGTTTACGTACAATATTCACGTCTGTTAATAACAGTTATATTCTATGTCTCAATTCTTTCGAGAATCAACCATCTGATTACTTTTCCCGCTTATAAATTTTGTTAAGTATTTCATTCGATATTGTTTTATACCATTTCATTAGATGTAAAATTAAAATAATAGGCCAATACAGTGCACAGGAATGTATTAAGAGAAAGGATAGCCGACACTATAATTGGCATGGCAATATGAAACTTTATACTCCTACTGGATAGGAAAATAATGAGAACGTGAATATAATCCTTCTTTATATTAGTGCAAGTGAAATAATAATTAAGTTTCCTCCTAATTAACTGTAACAATATCTATCCAATGTACTCAGACTGTTTAATTTTGGTATATTTTCATGAAACAATTCTCATTTAAAATTTATCTCAGTAAAAATTAGCCAAATAGTCTGTTTATATATTTATTAATTTAAATCTTTTGGGGTCCAGGAATTTCTAATTATTTCAATATTCAGATATCAATGGACATTCAATATCAGTCTAAATGTCATAAAATTGACTTGTCAGTTTTTCATTCTGAGCAAATTATACATTAATTTTAGGGAAAATTTAAGGTTTGTACTCAATATCGATGAATAATGATCCCTGCAGACCATGCCGTCCGATCATTGTCTTCATTGATATCATGGAATAAATGTTTGATTATCTGTTTGATTTTACGGCGTACAAACAATGTTTATGTCATATGGCGCCAAAACAGGAAAAATTATTTTGCCTAACCTTGGTGTTAGAAATTTCAAAGCAACACCAGGGGTCAAAACCACCACCCCTGCTGGAGCTAAGAGATGCATAGATTGCACTAATTCGAACCCATTTGGTCACGCAGGGATAAACAGTGGCTGCAATCCTGATGCCTCTAACATTGAAGGCAATTCCTCAGCAACAAGGGAAATGGATATGGATTAATTCAGTAGTCGTCAGCCGCATGTTTGTTCAACCATAGGCAGTTATAAAAACATCTCTAAAAACATCACGAATCTTTTAAAAGAAGGAATTCATCGCAGTTTCCTTTCCTGACACGAATCCATCAAAACATGAAACGAAAACCCAATATATTAATGCTATCTCTCTTTTCTGAGGAAAGTCAGTGACTACTGAAAGCGAAATTATAATATAACTCATTCAAAACATGGAACTTCACTTTCAAATTACACTTTATAACGAGCCAGCGTTGTGTTTTTATCGTGTTTGGTCGCTATTATATCGCGCACATATTTTAATCATCTCTATCATCATGTGATTTAAAGCGATGTTTGCACTTCATTGCCTATATAATAGACTTGAAAAGATATACGCCAAATGAAATCATTTAATATAATACAAGTGCTGAGGAAAAAAACCCAACGAATTGATTGAAATTTAAAAATAATGATTTCTGCCGACATTTAGACCATTTTAAAAAGATTATATAGAATATTTAGAGGTACACTGTTCCAAAAGTTCATGCCATGATAAGAAAGTGCTTTAAATATAATTTGTTTTAGGTCTTGTCCATAATACAATACCATTTCTGAGTTAGATCTTAAATTGTACATTTTGTTGTCTGATAAAGTTATCAATTCTGTCATATAACTTCTTTGTCATGTTTTTTTTTAAGTTTTAAAATCAAGTACCGCCGTCTGGTATATACATCTGTCGAGGAATGGTAACATGTTAAGAGTTTCGAATAACTCCATTGACGTAGTGGTTACTGCAAAATGTGTTTTTAATTAACCGTCATTGTCTATGTAGCTTGTGTTTCCATTATCCCATATACACCGTGCATATCCAATAACGCAGGAATGTGATTACATTGTCATATTAAAATTACAATAGGTTATCCGACAAAAATGGCGGTTGGGCGAGACTATTTACGCACCCTTTGTAGAAGGTTTTTGACGCCCATTTTGTTATCATGTGATATTAAATTATTCAAAGACAGGCGGTGTACAGGTAGAATGATTTAAATCTTTTTAATTGTATATATCGCCGTCCAGGAAAGGCGATAATTAACAAAAAAAAAATGAATTTTCTGTTAAGGCATAGATCCTTGATGAAACAAAATGAAATAAAGCACCTTCACAGGCCCTTTAAATTACATAACTGCAGCTGTAAAAGAAACTAATTAAATATGAAGCAACCCATGCCGCATTCTTTTATGTGTTTAATTTGTGCTATAAAAGCTTAATTTTAGTCGACGCATTCAGTGCTTCTATATTGCAGTGTTAACGATCATATCATTTTCTTTTATCATCAAATTGTATTCAATGACAAGTTTCACATGAAACCTATAACGTTTCATTATGCAAAATAGCCTGTTTATTTGTTTAAATGTCTGAAATCGGGATGTCAGTCGCCTCTTACGATCACGTAGAGATAAACAATTGCTGCATTTCTGATGCCTCAAACATTGAAGGCAATCCCTCAGCCACAATATAGATATGGATTAATTCAATAGTCGTCAGCCGGGTGTTAGTTCAACCATGGGCAGTTATAAAATCATCTCTAAAAACATCACAAATCTTTAAAAATAGGAATACAGTACAGCTTCCTTTCCTTCCCGAACACGAATCTATCAAATCATGAAACGAAAACCCAATATATCAATGATATAACTCTTTTCTGAGGAAAGTCAGTAAAAACTTAAGGTGAAATCATAATATAACTCATTCAAAACATGGAACTTCACTTTCAAATTACACTGTATAACGAGCCAGCGGTGTGATTTTATCGTGTTTGGTCGCTATTATACAAACATCGCGCTCATAGAGCTCGTGCAGCTTTTAATCATCTCTATCATTATGTGATTTAAAGCTATGTTTCCACTTCATTGTCCATAAAGTAGGCTTGAATTGATATACGCCAGATGAAATCATTTAATATAATACAAGTGCTGAGGTAAAAACAACGAATTGATTGAAATTTCAAAATAATGATTTCTGCCATTATTTAGACCATTTTAAAATGATTAAGAGTCAATAAAATAAAATTCAATCAGCTTAAAGTCTGAATAACTGCTGTATGATATATTACTGTTTTCTCTTAAGTATTGATTCTGTTGAATGAAATATCAATGTCATTAACAGCCAATGCCTATGCAACATTTTAACACATTCGTTTTAATTAAACAGGTAACACAGTAAAATAATTACTTTACAAAGAACACGGGGGAGGAAGTGTTACACGAAGGATGGAGTTCTTATGATAACTTGTTCAGGAGTTCTTGTGATAACTGTCACGGAGTTCGTCGGAAAACATCTGTATATACTACCACAACACTCGTTAAAAATGGTTATTTTCATCTTTCCAAAATGAGTTTTAGGTGCTAAATTAAACTTTAATGATTAAGCTTGTCTTACATCTTGCATTATGTGTATTGCAGACACATAAGACCAACGTTTTGTCAGTTTGTTTAAGTTTGACAGTTATCACAAGAACTCCTGAACAAGTTATCATAAGAACTCCATCCTTCGTGTAACACTTCCTCCCCCGTGAAGAAAGCAGAACTTAACAGAATCGATAAATAAAAACTAAGCATGCTTAATGCATTAAACTGACTTGACTATCTATTTATCTTGACAAACCATTCATCATTTCAAAAGAAAAAATAAAAAAATTGATTGATTTGAATAGTAACAATTTATACCATGATCAGACGACACAGATATGCATGCTGATCGCATTAGTATATGCAGGTGGCGCCAACAAAGACTGACTTTTATTAAGTTATGTTTAAAGTAGATTTGTTTACCGGTGGAAATATCGTTGCTATAGAGTATTTTAAGAATGAATTGAGCCGTGCCATGACAAAACCAACATAATGGGTTTGCGACCAGCATGGATCCAGACCAGCCTGCGCATCCGCGCAGTCTGATCAGGATCAATGCTGATCGCTTACCAACCCTACTACAAGTAGAGAAACTAATAGCGAACAGCATGGATCCTGATCAGACTGCGCGGATCCATGCTGGTCGCAAACGCACTATGTTGGTTTTGTCATGACACGGCTCAATTATTTTAACGATAAAATGTCATAATCAATGACATAAATTAATGAAAATAATTTTTTAAGTCGAAATAATAATAAACATTTTTGGTCAATAGTTCTACATGTAAGTTGTAAATTATATTTTAGAACAGTTTTATAAGTAGAAATATGACAGAAAACAAGATTTAAACCCATACACTATTCTAATGTAACGCAAGAAACATTATTGATTATTTAAGTTAACGATTCAATTCTGGTACGGTAAAATGCCTTTATTTAAATACTTAAAATGTTCTCATAGCGCTCAAAAATGGTCTTTAAATAGTGCTTTAAAAACCCTTATAAAAAAAACCCTAACAAACAAAAAAAAAAACACACACAAAAAAACAAAAAACACACACACACACGAACAAAAAAACAAAAAACAAAAAAAAAAAACAACATCATCGTACACATTGATAGAAATTTCAAGCACTATTTAAACGCTCATAAATTAACACATGGTATTTCTCGCTAGACGTGTCTTGTAAAGCGTTTATGTGACTATGATTAACAAACAAATTTTTTGTTGTTTGTTTTTAAGTGAAAAAGTTTGCCAAATTGATACGAGGTTTTAAATAATTGCCTTATCATCATTTAAAGGTTTAGTATTACCTGTGGTCGCCCAGAGAATGTATGGTCGTACTGGAGAGATGATGATGATCGTGATGATAGTGATGGCGGTGGTGTCTACTGGATCAGCCGAGGTCGTGGCTGTGACGTCAATCATCGTGTACGATATTCACCAACTTTATCTCAAGGTAATATAATGATAATTTTATAATAATAATAATAATAATAACAATAATAATAATAATAATAATAATAATAATAATAATAATAATAATAATGAATAATAATAGTAATAATAATAATAGTAATAATAATAATAATAATAGTAATAATAATAATAGTAATAATAATAATAATAATAATAGATCTAGTAAATATTATGTACTTATAAATGAAATATTGAGAAATGTTGATGAAATAAAAAGCTTTTTTTTTCATTTTCCGTATTTTCATCGTAAAAATCTATTGTTCACCACACTTATTTTCCGTATTTTCACTGGTGTCTTGCCGGGGTACTTATATCTAAATTGAGCCAAATATCAGAGAAAGTCTTTCAAATTATATTGTCAAAAAAGATCAAAACGTATACAATAAAAAGAAAATTCAAATTTTTTTCTATGAATGCAGATTTATTTCGTCTTGTGGTTTGAAAATTTTCATATTTCACACGTGGCTACCACCACTCATGAAATGTTTATTTTCATACCACTCAATGAAAATAAATCATGTATTTAAAGAAAAACTTGAATATCCTCTCTCTATATATATTTTTGTTTTTTGGATCAAATATATAAACATTGTATGTACAGTATGGATATATAAAGTTACAACTTAACAAATATAGTATCATACAGCTATAGAATAGAACATATCCATAATAAGAAAATTAAACACTCTATATATATTAGTACAACAATAAAAGAAAAAAAAATGTGTCGAAGATTGAAGTCTGTATAGAACAGTTTGGAAGTTTAAATCATAACTCATCCGAAAATCTATTTGATAAACAATATTTGTTGAACCGATTAACATCCATAAAATACAAGTCATACGGTTTTATCTCATTTAAAGAACCGCGATTTTATACCTCAGCCATTTCTCCTTTAATCATTGTTTTCCAGGCGTATAGCAAGGCCTGTGAAAAGGAAATTAAAGTTGGTTTGACAAATGGCATTGTCATATTTCTAAACCTGTAACCAAGTACGAAAGATCAAAACTACATTTTTATGAATACATATAAAATTTAATTTCCGTCACAAACAGACTTTTTTAGGATGTGAAAAGGCACGTTGACGTGGAATCTATCTGTGTAATGAAATAATATAATATAGTTGTCTTTGAATTATAAAAATGCTTATGCAATCAGTTTCTGCCATCGTATTTGTAATGCTTCAAACAAATAAGGAGTAAAATAGTTCCCGCTATATTAAGCGCAATAAATCACGATGGAAGTGAAAATAAAAAACCGCGCGTTTTAATCATTGAAAGGCACTTATTATGCCTTAGAAATGAATAAATTATTACTTCTTTAAAAAGGGAAATCAAGAATTTTAAAACATTTTAGTAATGGTTTCAAAGCATGGTAAATGTTTCTTACTTGAAGGAAGTAGCCATAAATGTAAAATTATTTGTCATCAAGATAGCAAAATGTAAACAAAGTAGTATTTAGACATCACTTAAACTGTATTGATTGCCAGAAAGCAACAGAAGAAGAAGTTGGTTCAGGTTATTGGCCAATGAGTAACTGATGAAAAACAATATAAAAGCAAATAAAATAAAAAGCTTTTGAGAAAAAAAGATGTAAACATTTCTTGGACATAATGGGCCTTTAAATATGTGCAGCTAGTCGTTCTCTGCTTTTTTTGAAACTGTAAATGTTCATGTCCATACGGAATTCCATAAACGACAGCCTACTGCTCACTGCCTACTGCTAACTGGACAGCCTGCTGCTCACTGCCTACTGCTAACTGCTTATTGACAGTCATACTATGTATATGGATCAAATAGAAGTATTCCGAATGTACACACATGTGCACCCGCCATTTTGTTGAAAAAATCTGCTGGGAAAACAATGGTAAGTGAATTAAAAAGGATTAGTTTATAATTAAGCCTTTTAATTTGTAATTTCGAATTCATTGCAATGACTTATGTACGAATGTCCCACCATTGCATACTGCATTGATTATGTTGCACGGGTAATTGATAAATTGTCAAATATAGGACTCATTTTAGGGTAAATCAACTTAATAATAACTTATTCACAAAGAATCTGTGTTCAACAATCAACATGGATGGGCTTGAGCCCACCACTATTCCTCGATTGAGAGGCGGAAATCTGGACCATTATGTCAACACTCGCTTATTTTATTTAGAATTTCATAGTTTATTAAACTTTCAATTGACATTGTTATACATTTCTAGAAGAATATCTGTAATATACTGGTGAAATCACTGGCGAAATCTAGGCTAAACATTCTCTCATAATCAAACTTGTGTGAGTTCATTTACGAGATCATTTAGGTTCAGTTTTCATTGGCTGTTAGTTATAGATTATAAATGTGTAATTCCTTATTAGATGTTATGTAATGCATTTTTGTTAAATTGATTGCACTCTTGATAGTTAATGTTGCAAAGATATGTGTTTTGAAGGTTAATAATACAATTGTAGAATCAATTTTATTCTAGTACAGAGGATGATAAATCTGACAGAAACATTTCAATGGAGGAACAGCCTATACTTTCATTGACTTCACAGACAAGTTACAGAAACCTGCATGAAAATATTGAAATTACAATGGAAGAGGAAAAGACTACATAAATGTATTGGATCTTAAAGGCGAATTTAACTCGGCTCCCTTCTGAAAGCATAAACAAAGACAAACTTGGCTGTATTCAAATTGTTTCAAAAACGTTCAATATTTCAATGACATAAAGAGTGCAAACATGAATTGATAAATTACAGTTTGGACCAGCTTATTTTACTTTATTGAAAAGCCATCGTTATTCTCTTGTTTAAATTCAATTGTGCTATTGAAAAACTATGAGAGATTCTTAACTATTTAAATTTACTTAAACATTTCTGATAGACAAAATGATCATGTTAATGTTACAATATATTTTTGGCGTGTTTATTTAAAATCCATCTTTAATAAAAAATTTATAATTATCTTGTTAACAAACACACTTAAAAGTGATTGTTTAGGTTTGGTTAGTTTATCTATTTTTTTTGCAATTACCGCAAGTAAAACCAATGCGTATTTGCCAGAATCATCCAATGAAAGTCATTACTATTTCTATCAGGGTTCTAGAGGTTTGACAAGTTCAATTGACAAAACAATGGTAAACAGTTCTAAGACATCGTGATAGTGTAGAGTATATGATATGATATGACGCATTTTTAAGTTACCTTTCGTACAACGTGTATATCACTTTACATTGCAGAGTATATTAACATTAATATAATTTCATAACAACTACATGTATATAATTCATAACAGAACTTTTAATTATAATTCTGCTTTTATATTAATTGTTTTCCCCGAAACTTTACAAACATTTTATAAAGATTTTGACTTTTTTACAGACGCGTCATAATTTTAGATAACGGTGTATACAAGAAAATATTAGCTTACTGGTCTCATTATTGGGACTAAACATACTTTTTATGTGGTGTTATAATTTGTTTTCGTTTTAATTGTAAATAAAAAAGTTCTTTAAAAATAAAATATCATAATTTTCTTGTAATTTTGTTTATGTTTAGCTCCCAGGAAAACAAAATTATGACAAAATGAATTGAAAATGGTTATATATATGTTAACCATAGTGCAAAGTTTGTTTGTTGAATGTTGTAACATGACCAATTTGAAAAATTAATATTGAACATTGTCCACATTTAACCCATTACTTCATGAGCATTTTGTGAAAAATGGCTGTTTTCATTGAAAAGTCTCCATTTACAAGTTCAAATGGCTATTAAACAATAAAAAATGCTTCAATACTAATCAAACCTGGCACAAATGTTGCCTGGTCCATTGTATTTGTAACAACATGCCCGGGCTTAAATTTCCTGTTACCATGGCAATGAGGGGACATCTCAAAATTGCCAAAAATCACTATTTTGCGTTGGTTTTTTTCCATGAAAATTGATTTCAAAATGCTGCAACTTCTAAATGGATTGAGATAGAGTCAAATGTTTTTCAGCGTTGGTTACTCTTTACCTTATAATCGATCTGGGGTTATTTTTAGCCTCTCAAAAGTCCAAAATTTTCTTGTGCCTCCTTCTGGCAACACCCTGGTGTATCTTTTGGTTTGGGGTCGCGCCGAAAATGTGGTCACTTTTTTTTAACAGCATTTCTCAAACAAAAACAAGTGTTCGGGGCCTTAATAAGGCATTTTTGCACCATTTGAGACAACAAAAATTGTTTGCAGGGTACGTCTTTCAAAAAGAATTCCCCTGGTGTTAAGAAGTGAGCATTTACAAATAACAGCACACTTACCAATGTTTGCACGACTGTTGATAAAAATAAATTCAAACACTTGATCAACTTACTCATCTGAATAATAGACGATATTCTAAAGTAAAGTGATATTAAAACACTGACTTCGTAATGTACAAAAAAAATTAAATACTAGTATTCAATAAGAATTTATCCCATCAATGAATCCGTTTAAGATACTAAGAGGTCAGTAAAATTTAAATGCTATCTAAAAATATAACTGCCATAAAAATTATTAAAAGCAAATGACCAATTATGCCATTTAAATAAAAATCTTAATAAAAAATAGTGATTAAAACGTGATTCCTTTAATATTATCATTATAAAACTCGCTTTCTTTTTAATTAAATTTACAAATAATAATTTTCAATTTCTTAATAATAGGGCTTGGAAAAACAAAGATATTAAAATATGGTGCACACTGTAACACATCTATTTGCCACTATCAGTGACTATTGATTTCATTAGACCTTTGGAAAGTAATAAACCAATCAATTATGCAGTTTAAACATTGAAGTCGTTCAAGCATGTTGATAGATAAAGATCTCTGCCAAGCCCCCAGGCAGGAGATTAACAACTGACTGACAGCAATTAATGTTTTGATAAGGGAGTACACTTGTAACAGCCAATAAAGTTTTAAACTGACAAAAATATATTCCAGCCCAGCTGGTAAACGTATCTTTGGGTCAAGCTGGGGGGGGGGGGGCTGCAGCCCTGATACCCGGGCCTGAATCCATCACTGAAAAAAGGGGGTGAAAAGGGCGTTAAAAGGCGTGTATATCGGGTAATGGGTTAAACAGTGTCTTAGTCCATCAATTTTAAATGGATGGGATTGCGAAAAGTATGTATTAGGAATATGAAGATTACGTTATATCATTAGCTAGTTATAGGGAAGGGTCAATATCCTTTAATGAACAAATATAATAATATACATGTTATATGGTAGATGTATCTAAGCTTGAACAGGGATATACATGTATAAATAATAAGGCAAGCAGTTATATTTGGTAGCTCAAAATTACCGAACAAGATTTAATGACAGAAAAAAATGTAATATTTGGTTAGTTTAACATTTCTATAAAGTTCACAGGTCTATGATTTGGAAAAGTTCCAGATACCTGGAAAGATATCTACTTATTTTTCTGCTTAGCAAAACGAGAATTATACATGTACATGTATAAATGTAACAAGTTCCAGGCTTTCAGTCAAAGTCTTCATAAATGATACTGAGTAATTCCTAGACCAATACTGTTTCAAACTGCCTCATTGTACCATATAAACACATTGGAACAAGGACACAAAAAGTCAACATTTACTTTCAGGCAATTAATCGGGTATTAGACAGGTGTAGCAGTATGTATTTATCAATTAACAGTAAGCATTAAACAGTCGCTGTAAGCATTAAGCAGTTTAAAGTAAGCAGTTGACAGTAGGCAGTTGACAGTAAGCAGTTGACAGTAGGCAGTTGGCAGTAAGCAGTAGGCTGTCGTTTATGGAATTCCGTATGTCCAAAATCTTATCTAATATCGAAATAATATACATGCATACATGGTTTACCATATTTATATTGTATGCTTTAACTTCTACAAACACAGCCCTACCGTCTGGTTCACGATGCGAATTCATGTATATTATGTGGAAGAGGGCGGGGTCGTAAATCAAATGTTCGAGATAGATGTACATGTGAAAGTATGACTGTGTGCTCGGACTGTGCACATGATAATAGGTAGGTCAACAACCGATAGTGTGTTCATTGTTTCAGAACTATTTTAATGACCCATTTAGAGCGGAAGGTCTTGGGGAATCATCACTTTTGTCCCACATGAATTACAAGGATTCCTTCTTCGTTTTTTTTATTTGGTTTTACGGCATACCAACATAGTATAGGCTATACGGCGCCGAAACAGGAAAGACGATTTTTGGCTAACCTCGTGTGTTACAAACTTCCAAGCAACACCAGGAAGTAGTCATTGAGACATTACCAGCAAAGAACGTTCATATTGTTTATTGTAATATAAGAAGAAGCAATTCTGTTAACTTCCACAAAAGCTTGATTTAACATACTTATTCTTTCAGTTTAAAACCATAAAACGCTTTATATAAAGTGGTGAAATCAAGTATTTTTTTTTAGAATTATTTTCTACTCATAACACAGAACAATAATCATTTAGCCTTGAAAAAATGTATCGTTAAAAAATTTACGTTTGAAAATGTATACAAAAACATTTATTATTTCTTATCAAATAGACAAAGAAGCCAGTCAAAACGTGCCCTTAAGCCACCATACCAGTGTCGTACACATGGGAGTTACAGGGAATATACGGACTACCTCACACATTTAAAAAACTGGTGTCTTCTGTGGGTAACACTGGGAATCATTCCATTAACAATCATCCTCTACATTTTACGAGTGAGTTACCACATACAATGTAAATTGTAGTTTAATAAAATTTAGACAGCCACCAGCATATTTTTTTCCTGTTAAATTCACGTGTCTGTACAAACATTGATTATGAAATAACAGGGATAAGGCATGTAAAGTAACGTTTCAAATATTTTGTGTAAATGAAATGTTTTTTGTTTGTTTGTTCTTTTGTTAATGTTAAATGTTGAATTCTGCTCAAGTTGGTGCCAGGGGGCGTGGACGGTAACTTGCAAGTTCATAAACAGGCGTAAACCGAACCTGTAACATTATCAATTTTGCCTCGTCAGCTCTCTTTACGGATTCTGTTTTTCTTTCTTTTTGTGGAGGAGGGCTCTATTATGGTCATATGGCGACTTCCGATGAAGACCTCGTGAATTTTTCAAGGCTTATGACTAGAACTAGCTTAATACTTTACAAAAAAGTTATTGCTCCTATTATATAAACAGCATTAAAATAACAACGTTTATATGTTATAATAATCTGGATCATGCATGAAAGCTAGTCATGAAACTTTTTCAAAAGTTTGTTTGTCCGAAATGACAAATATATTATTTTCAGATAAACTTATCACTCGTGCATATGTTTATGGGCGTGACAATAAACTCGGCAGTGATACCGGTTGTACTAGCTATGTTCTGGGAACGTCTTACTGGACTAAGCATGATTGCCGGAAGTATAGGAGGGTCGGTACTCGGCTTGATTTCCTGGCTCAGCGCAACAGCGTCATATCCTGGAGGACTTTCACAGTTCAGACAAAACTCTAGTTAGTTTTATTTTTAGATTTTTTTTCTGTAAAGTAAGACATTATTTGTAGCGACAGGATCTGAAATCAATCTTTTATCAATTTTGATGAAATTAGAATGAGTGGTACACACCTATGAATTGTATATAAAGAACAATTTCATTATTTCGGGTTATGATAAAGGCCATATACAGCTTTTGGTGTCGCAAGATGAAAAAAAAATAAATAAAATAAAATGATTTAAAAAAAATCATGCAAATACACAAAGCCAATCGTTTGTCGTGTTTACGTACTTTTACCATTCACCTTACCACACAAACTATCCGTATTTGTCAAAAATGAAACCACTAAATATATTTTGAAACAAGAATATTTTGAACTGATTGATGCTATTTTTTTATGTTCGCTACAATGTATTACTTTCAAAGCAACAATTTCTGTAAATAGTTCGAGAGGTACCAAGCGTGACTGGTAATTGGATATCACTGCTCTCTGGTGGTATGATAGCCGTCTGCGTGAGTCTGTTGTCCGGTCGCAGCAAAGAAGGCCCGGAAGTCTGGGAGAAAACAAGAGATATAGACAGTCCTCTTAGTCCATGGACAGAACTTTATGAGAAGTAGGAAATCTTTACTTATTTACACATTATATCTTTAAGCATCTGCTTAGAGCCAACCAAAGCTTTATTACACGAGAAGTAAGCGTTTATTTACTGGGAAACTTTTCTTATTTACAAAATTTAATAATATCTTTAAGCATCCGCTCAAAGGCCACTTAAGCTATATAACTCTGTGTGAAAAATGACAATGTATTATCTACGATTGTTTCCCTTTTTTTTCTTAAAAATATGATATTAACTGTATTTCAAAATCTTTCATAGGTCATAGTTTCGTAACGACAATGTTCTTTCTAGCAATGAATACTTATTATTTTTTGTTCATTTGTCTAACCTTTGTTAGTTAAACTTAGTATGTGAACATGGGTAAAATATAAATGACACATCTAGTTTACTTATTATTTATACGGTCAAAATTCTGATTGTTGAAGTAACAGAACTTGTTAAAATAAGATCTTGTAATATTTTACTGAAGTAACATAGCAGTAAGATTGATAAAATAGATGCCAATATGGGAACGTGAGTTAGAATTATGACACATTTATAGTTGTCTTGAAAACATTTCCTTTTACTTCCAAAACGCATTTTGAAGATGGACTATGCGTTGCGAGCAACACTTGACAATTTTAGTAGAACTTAATTTTATACCTATACCCTTTTATACATTATAAGTGAGTATTCTTGAATTCTGTTCCAGAATCAACCAGTTTTTTTCCACAGGAAACTTATGAAACTATTATATTTACAACATAAAAGACAAATTTTAGACAAATGACATTAAATATATTGTTTTTAAAAATAATAAAATCGTAATGGAAAAAATTGCTGAGCCAGGGGCTCGAACTCGTGAACCTAAGGTTCGCAGACCTTATGTCTTCCTGATGAGGCTATCCGGTAAAACATTTGCTCAGTTAATCGTTAAAAAATGGCCCAAAGACAGAAAGGCCGGGTTGCATATGTATACCAAATATCATGAGTCTGTGATGTTACGAACATTTTCTGTTTCATTAATGTCTAAAAAAACTGAATCGGTAAACAAGAAGTAGATGAGCGACAGACCTGAAATCGAATCCCATCGTATGGGACTAGATGTTGATGCTGTATAACAAATATCAAGAGGCTTCGATAAGGAGCTGCTGAGAAAACTGTTACGATCCCCCCAACACACCGCCAGACATTCACCACACTATAAACCCGGATTTGCACCTATGCAACCCGGCTAAAAATTATAAATGGAGTGTTACTTGTATGACATGACAGTTATATAAATATATAATAAACAAGTTTAAATTATATACACGTATACGGCAAGCTGCAGAGTGTAATAGTGTCAAAGTATAGTGAATATTTTTAGAAACGGAACAATCTTTATTACTGGTAGTCAATATTACTTCGTCTTTTACAATTTATTAAAAAAAGCGTGCCAGAAACAATAACTTCTGTATTAAGGGAATACTATGAAGGTCAAACACGAGTACATGGATGTGACATAGGTTTACAACCATTCATTATTAATGTTTTGATTAGTTTTTGCAAAAGATAGCAATAAATTTAAACCTGAATTTGCTAAATTTTGTACAAGATATACTATATTATACTCAAATACTGATAGTTACTATTGAGATTTTAAAGAAACATCCTTTAAATACACACAGAGAAAATATGTTATGTTTTAAATTCTACACACTACAGGTAATCACAGTATGATTACATAGTGTTTTTAAAAATACCTGGCCTATATGAATTTATAACATACCAAATTAATTGACAAAGGGAATACTACTTAATAAACAGTTTATACATTCATTTATTCAAATTAGACATATTCAGGGTGAATTTACTAGATTTCAATTATTTTCTGAAATAAAAGTATTTTACCCAAAGATGAGGATAGTATAAGTATTTTACCTAAAGATGAGGATAGTATTAGTATTTTACCCAAAGATGAGGATAGTATAACTTGCTCGGTTTTTATTTTTTTATCAATTATCAGTGTATGGGTTATCAAGATAAAAAACAACAAAAATACGGATGTGCAGTCTGGCCTTCCTCCTTACTGATGGTAAAGACTAATCACTTCCTGTTCCGGTGTAAAAGTTGATATTGTAAAAATTTCTATGTAACGTCTACAAATGTATATTACCTGTATGTTGAAAGTTAGCGGCGAAGTTTTATTACTAAATAACTTATAAATAGTGTTAAGATTACTCGAAACAAGACAGTGTTTTAAACCAAACCTAGAATAAGTAAAGAAATATTCTGTATAATATCAAGGTTTTATGATGTTTATTACATGAAGACAAAAGTTATATTATCCGACTTCAGTTGTTAACCGAAAAAACTGTTTAGAAATATAAGACATTAGAATTATATTTCACTTCTTATATTTCCATCTCTTGAAAATGAAATGAATATACCAGTTTTACGTTTGTTTAAAACATAACTGGGTATGTCCCCATATAATCTTACACCATCATAACGCATTAAGTTTATAACCAATTATTTCTACTTTGTCAAAGAAGTGTTGTTTTATTTTGAATTTCGCATATTTTTAAAGTACAATACACGTTTTGTCAGATGCAGCTAATTTTTTGCAGATATTTTACCAAGCAGGCGATGATTTCTCTGTATGAATTAATATCATTTTCTCATCATTTTGCCACAAAGTTACAGAGATATTTAATTTGAATGAATTATTTTTCAGGGATTTAAATATTGCAGGCGCTTACAGACTTGACAACCGACCTTCACTAGAGGACGTACATAAAGCATTCAAGGGAGCTAAATATGTCGCGTCTGTCGGATCAATATCTTTGTCAGTTCTGCTTGTAGTTATCTGGCCTTGCATTATGATAGGTGTATCGGTGATGTCATATGAAGCATTCAACCAATGGGTAGATAATTCTTTTACAGTCAAACCTCTGTATCAGTCCATTGGTATTAATAGATAAAGTCTTCCATTTCAATTTTGAAGCCTCACCAGATACCGATTACACTTTCGAATGAGACACGTGCAATGCTTATGTTCTTATAAAACCTATTTTAGACATAATTCAACAATGGCTTTTACTTGCATTTAAAAATCACAAGATTTATTTTCGAACATTAAAAAAGAAAATGGCCGCCATTGGCCAGTCTGTTTTATTCTGTCTTGAAAATATATAAACACAAGGCATTTATAATTTTTAAAAGTCAGCTTATTTATGAAAGAAAAGCAAACTCGTATTCAAAATGATATATTTATTTTTGCATGTTCATATTTTGCTACCATGTTACATTTTTCATCCCAAAACTTATTATAAAAATGTGTTCACATAAAAAAGAGGTTTGTCAACACCATTTGTTTTTCTGTTTCAGGTGACTGTATCTAAAGTCTGGGCATTTTTAGCTGCCATCTTTATAATCATAGCACCATTAGCTAATGAAATATGGGATATTTACAAAACTTTCTTCAGGAATAACCGCATGAAAACTTTCCCGGAAGATTTACATAACGAGAACGCGAACACTTCAAGTGTTTGTGAACCAACTGATGAAGACGCGGGAAAAGGTGTCACAGGTGATAAACGTACAGACGTCGAGGGCGTTCATTTATCAGCGTTCACACCTTTTAAGAGTCGTGAAAGTGACGCTGGAATAATCGGTCAAAACATTCAAACAAAGAGTGACTAGGGTGGGGGGTATGTTAATATTCAAACCTATTCATTTTGTTTAGAAACAAGAAATGTACAAGTTGTGAATCATGTTTTAATCAATGTATGTTTACTTGCGTTTGTATAGTATTCCCAGATCTTGGTCATGAAATCAGTCTAAACTACATAAGTACAACGCCAGAAGGTACAGGCACCACTCCAGAACTAGTGACGGAACAAACATTGTGTTCTCTCTTTATGATTTGCTATAATAATATATCAGAAAACTGTATTTAAAAGTTGAGTTACTAATGAAGAAACTCTTAGGAACATGTAATAATGATACATACCAATAAAGTGACATTTTGCTGATTTTGTCATTGTCAAGTTTAGCTGAATTGACTATATGCATTTCAGAAGATTCAATGCTATATTTGTAATCGACCAAAAGTTGATACTAGTATTTGAAATGTTGTAGGATGAGATATCAATCTGCCCCCCTCCCCCCAAAAAAATACTCCCACCCCCGCGTTTTTTTTATAGACTTAACGTTACAGGTAAATTACGAAAGGCATTTAGGCCTTAGCGAGTTATTTATTGTCATGCGAAATAAAGAATAAAAATGAAAGGAATTATGGCAAAATTTATTTCCACTAACACCTGCCTACTTACTTTACACCCTTGGATCGGCGTAATGTCCCTTTAACTAATGATACTAGTCAAAATATCGTTACATTTTGCTGATTCATCAAATAGTTTTTTTATCGTAGACTCTAGAATATACTTTAAGTTACATGATTATCTTTATATCATTGTTGCAAAATGTTTTAATTTGTGCTTATATTTGAAATGCCCTGTTTTGTTTTTCGGTATTTGTATTGTCAATCAGACTTTTTGTCTGATGTCATATCATAATATCGGGACTTTTCCATTGTCTTGTTAGATGCATTCAAGTTTATTCACCCACTCTCAAGCAATTTAAATTTATTACTTTTAAACAACGTTTCGGCTCCTTTAACTTCTTAATAATCTGGGTTAATAAATTCCCTGAATTTCAGCAAGGTTTGTATTCGTTTTGCAATTAGATAAGTTTTAGACTTGAAACGAGCTTTGTTCTCGTCCCACCAACTCCTGCATAAAAAAGAATCAACAACGGCAAAAGCTACAACAACAACTAAAAGATTAAGGTTTGTACGTAAAATGGGAGCAATTTATCAACATTTGCTGCAAGATAAACACCAAGTACCATCTATTTAAGACTTTTAAAATAGAAAAATATGGAATCCCTAAAGAATGTGTAAAACGACAAAATTGAAAATGTTGCAGACTCTGTTTGATTGAATCTGTTCATGGACGTTTTATAAACACACATTACCCTAGAAACACTTAAACTTGTTGATCATAGATAATAATGATATATAAAGATTCATAATACCAATAACACTATCCCTTAAGAACTCGTAAAACAGCAAAATCGAACATTTTGCACGTTCGGTTTGATTGAGCCTGTTTAATGATGGTAGTGTTGACTGAAAGCTATTCTCACACTAATATCACTGAAAATCATTACAAAGTAGCAATTTAAAGCCATATGATTTTATAAAATTTGACTTTAGGTACAATTGTTGCTGTCGCATTGTGCTAAACTTGAACTGTCAATTGATTCAATAAAGTGTCTCCATTTTATACCTGAGAAAACCTTAGTAGGATAATCTGTCTGTCTGTCTGTCTGTCTGTCAACTCAAGATTACGTTAATTCTTAAAACGTTAGGGTTCCTTATCGGCAGTTTTTTTACTTCAAATTTGAAACTTGCTTACTTTACGGCCTGTGGAAGAATATTCGTTGTGTTGTTTTTCTTCAAGTATTAATCTTTACAACTAGGTCTGCTCCAAAATTAGAGTGTTCATAATGTTAAGGTGTAATTTTGATTAACTTGTAAGTTGAGGGATATAACTAATGCAACACTCCACTCGTATTATGTCGTGATAAGTGTTACATTGACATTTGAGCCGCATCACGACAAAACCAACATAGTGCGTTTGCGACCAGCATGGATCCAGACCAGCCTGCGCATCCGCGCAGTCTGACCAGGATCCATGCTGTTCGCGATCAGTTCCTCTACTTGTTATAGGGTTGGTAAACGATCAGCATGGATCCTGATCAGACTGCGCGGATGCGAAGGTTGGTCTGAATGCAAACCCATTATGTTGGTTTTTTCGTGACGCGGCTCATATACAATATCCATTATTTATACAGTGACATATCCCATTACAAATATCTTCATTTTAAATTAAAGAGCTTATATAATGGACATGATGTTAAATTTATTATCTTTTAAGCACCGGTTCAACCAATGGAGAACAAGGAAATATAATTCAATTATTAACTGATCATATAAGAATTCTAATTATGTATTAAGATCGTTTCGATTTTTCATTTTAATACGACCTTTACTTTCTGCTATGTCATTCACTCAGGATTCATAAAATTGGAATGTAATTCGTATTATAAGAACTAAATGAAGAATCAAATGAGTTTCCTATCTTCACAATAACCAATGAAATTGAAAAGTAGAATATCGACAGAATTCAAGGAAGAAATACTTCGCTTTATTTCCAATATAAAAAACAATTTTCTATACTAGACTTTTAGAAAAATACCGTTATGGAAGAAGAGTATAAAAACTATAACAATTCTTGCTGAGTATGTCTAATTACTAGGATGTTTTGGGAAGAAGCTGCATTTCATAGCACTGATCAATTTAATGTTGGTCCTTCCTTAAATGCATTGTGTATTCAATGATGATTTATATTTAAATTTTTAAAACAACCTGTGGCTTTCTGAAGGGGAAAACATAGCGCAAAAAAATCAGAAAAGGGGAAAATCAAATTCCAACAACTGAGAATGGAATGTATCCATGTATTTTATAAAATTTTCAGTTTCAATTTAATTTAAACCTACGTGGTACTGAGCAGAGGCTAAGGACAGCTTTTCTGTCCTCTAGCTGATATATATCAGCTGCTGTTAGGGCATGGCTCTGGTGAAGAATGCACACAGGGCATTTTAGAAGAAAAATATTAGAATATTTAGGGAAAAATATACCTTTTTGAGTTAAAGAAAACGGCCTTTATTCGGCTGTTAAATACAGGGGAAAAATCACTGGTATTCTTGATGAGTTTACCTATAGTATGTTCGATATTTTTGTGCTTGTTTTTATTCTTTGTTCGGGTTTTTATTTTCATCAAGAGCATTTAATGTTCGTAGATGATAATCTTGATTATTAAGTCCAGTCTTTCTATTACCATTTTATTCAGATCAGTATACCCAGGTTTTTGAAATGGAAATATATTGTATTAAGGAGGTCAACGACTGTCTTGTTGCTGCATTCACAATACATCATTCACAATACATTACGTTTAAGTCGTTCGTAAGCAGATTACAAAGGCTTAAATCCTAATGATTAAAACGAATTATAACTACAGTAAGATGGTGTGCTGTGAATATGCCTGATTTACATTATTCATTTCAATGATTTTTATTGCAGATTGTTGATTGCAGTAATTCTATTCGTGTTTGTTGCTGTACATGCCTTTTTAGCAGCAGTTTAATACTTTTGCCTTTAATACTTACGGAAACCAAACATTGTTTTCATCTTAAATAACTCATATTTAAATGCAAAAAGGGATAAAAATTCCATTTCTCTTCTTATAAATGAGCGTCGCGATTTCAACGGCAAAAAATCCGATCATAATTTAACATATCAACATTTGCTGGTATGCTTTCACAATTACAGAAGAAAAAAAAAAGAAAATAAAAATAAATAAAGGACATATCCCGAAATAAGTTGTTGTCGGGTGTTGGCAAGGAATGCCAAGCATTAAATGCTTTATGAAAAAAGTTACACTATCTTTCACATAACTTCTTGGGACCCTAAAATTGTACTAATTCGCTCGAGTTGAATAAAAATGAATGTCTCTAACAGGTACATTTTTTTCACATATGAAGGGCACTGGTTATTAAAATTTTTAAAAACACTATAGTCGGAACAATACACATGAAAACATTTTGTTCTATTTTTTTTGTTCACCGTTTAGTTCATAGACAAAGGGTTATTCTTTATATTTTCATGTTATTCAAAATCGCATTGAATTTTTTGACGCCGTTTGAATTTAAATCATGTAAATGTGTGTCATAATCAAGTGTTTTTTCGAGACACATATTGATAACTTTTCCATCTTGAAAATATTAACATGAAAATTTAAAAGGTTTACAAAACTTATAGGCAATTTGAAAACTGTTTATTAGAATTTGTTTAAACGTTGAATTAGCTTACAGTACGATCAAAGAAACATTTTTAGCGAAAACCTGGTAATGCAATGAAGCGAGGAGCGGAAAGTGTTTTGCTAAAGGAAACCAAGACTTGCCGCTGACGGGACTTGAACTCACACAGCCAGCAATCCTGATGTTACTAGTTCGACCCGTTTGATCTGTACTGTTGGCTGACTTAAGTTTTTAACTCTTTTTACATCCATTGTCTGGTACAGGAGCGGATTGAAACTACCAAATGTGTAATTTGCAAAAATGCCCACAGGTTAATATTTGCAAATTGAGTGTGAAATACAACTCATAAAAAACGTATTTGAAATGTTAATGTTTTGCAAAAATAAAATAATTCTATTATATACATAAAATGAAATATAGAAAAAACTGCAAACTCAAGATTTTCCTAAAATTAATATACAATCTTTCTAAAATTCCATGGCGAACTTAAAATGACGAAAACTAATTCCCTGTAGGTTTGCGTTATTATAATTGTATATATATATACATGTATATCAGTTTAAGTCATATCTCTAAAACATAGCCTCCTTTATTATAACAATAAGGATATGGCATATTTTAAAAGTCTATCCCTTAAAAAAGGAGCGGACAACTCTTTGTTCCTTTTCTCGTACGAGAAAGGGATTCTGTGATGCGTGCATGTGGTTGCACGGTCATTTTCCTTCAAACATGTCCTCGATGCGTGTATGTGGTCGCACGGTTGAAAAATCTGTAAACAAAATAACAATAGTCTAGAAAGTGCTTTTCGAACTTAACTGGAAGCTTCCTGGTTTGAAATCTTAATGTTCTAAAATAAAAATTCATTATAAGGAGTTTTAAAAGCCTAATATGGACTTTGTTAATTAAAATTAAAAATTATAAAAGCCTTATAAATACGACTCACTTTTGTTTGGTTAGGACTTATGAAAGCCGAATTAGCACTAGATAGAAATAGGAGAAATAAGTAAAACCTAAATATACCTTTCTTACTCGCAATTACAAGTAATTAGACGAAATCAGCCTTTTTTGTAACTGAAAAAGCCTTATTAGAAGAAGATGTGATATTAGAACTTTAAGGAAAAGGACTTTGTAATTAAGAGCTTAAAAACCTTAAGTTATTACATGTGGAAGAAATAGAAATCCTAATTTGAGGTTTGTTACACCAAATAACTAACTTTGAATACAAAGTGCTATTTAGGATTTTATTCCTCCTTATAGCCAAAACTCCTATTTAGGGTATACACAGTCCTTATAAGGAATGTTTGTCCTAATTAGGAGTTTAAACATTTTCTCCTAATACTGCTTATAAAGTGTAAGTCCCTTTTCTGCTCTCTTTTATTCTCCGAATTAGGATTAATAAAGTCTTAATAAGGCTAGTTTGATTCATTTCTAGCTTTATTGGAGAAAAAAGACATCAGTTGTTCCCCTAAACATTATTGTAGGCATGAGCGATGCGACTACTCAATGTATAAGAAATCATAAACATTCTTCACTTGATTTCCTTAAAGTCTTTCAACAAAAGTTTGAATTCGATTGAATATATCTCTTGGCGAAGATGTTAGTGAAATATCATTTCCTCCTAAATATAAAAAGCTTAATGTATGAGTTTGATACATGTATAAGCAACAAGAAAAAAACTCTGCATTTATCCGATCTGTTGTTCTGACAAACTTACCAAGAAAATTAACATTTTCAGTTACACATTTTTTGTATTATTTTGTAGAATCTCATTTATCTGTTTACATAGCCATGATTCCCCAATACCACAAATATAGCCATAGTATAGGCCATTGTTGTGGAAATGCCATTGATATATGAAGTGTGACAATATTATGATAATCTTCGACAATGATATCACCCTTACCAATTACTTGAGAGTGATCTTAACAGAACTATTTTCAGGTGAAAGGCCAACGAGTAACTTCATTGGGAACTTTAACTGGACATCAACAATAAGAAATTAATAAAAATATTTGTGAGAAATAATTGGCCTTCAAGCAACTTGAAGATAGTTGAAATACGTTTTAGCTGTAAAAAACACACTATCTTGGGTATATGTATATTTTGTTTCAAAGTCCATAAGAATGAAAAGCTTACTGAAAAAAAAACCATGTATAATGATTTTATATCATTCAACAGCTGAATGAATGTGTTCTGAAATAAGCCTGTAGCAGTTTGTTGCATTAGTTAATGAGGAAGTATTCATCAAAAAGCTTTTACTGTGCTAACTGTCAGTAATAATCATAATTTACATTATGTTGAAACCTTTTGATCTCCTAATTGTTGTCAATTTAATGACGAGGAAAGTAAAATCAGATTTTGCTATGTTAATCAAAGCAGATAAAAAGATAAACTTGTATAGATTTTACTGCATCTTATTGTTGCGAATGTCTGCATATTTATTCGTTTTATCAGTCATGATTTTAAGCAATGTAAAATGATTGAGGTTTTCAATTTTTACTTTATACGAGAAATGTAATTTTAAAATTTCAAACAATATAATACTTTCTTGCGGTATTTTTCAGAAAAGCTTGGATTCAGTTACATCAAATGTACAAACATAAATTTTAACAGCTTGAATGTATTTGTTTTAGGCTTTGAAGAATAAAAAAGAAATAGCCAGAACCTTAATTTAATATTGAACTTGTTTGGTAGTTGACTATTTTGATGAAGTAAATTACCTAAAGACACTATAAGATAAGAAATTTATTCATACATTGTATTATTATTATTATTTACATATAGAAAGGCAGGAAACATTTGACTTTTGATTTAAAGGTTGACTTCGTTTAAAGCTTTCTGAACATCCACAGTTTTTACCTCACCTCTGCGCTCTTTTAACATCAATTTAATGTTTTTTTCAACAATAAAGCCAATAATAAAAACACCTTTTACTTGATTGGATGGAAGCACTAAATGTTTGTTATATAATTTACAAGACAAATCTTTTGTTGAATGTATCGCCTTGAATCTGAAGTTGTTCATAGTTGTTCATCTTTTATATTTTGATATTGAAGTCCCTTGGACTTCAAATGGACTTCTTTATCAACACGATTCAATGCAGGACAAATTGTGTGCAAACATTATAATAAGCAGCATTAGGGGTAAACCTTGTAGAACACATGTTATCATAATCAAAAAGCAAAGCAAAAGAAAGAAATTACTACTTTTAATGTAACGTACGTATCGTTATTCACGCTATCAACTATTGTTTGAGTATATGTATAATTATTATATAATTAAACCTTTCGTCATTTGAAAGAACAAATGAGCTATCAAGACTACTGCAAGACAAGGAAACTGACTTCTTTCAGATGTAAATATTTTAGTAATATCTATACTTTTCTTCTACAACTTTTCAAACAAATTATGCGTCAAATATTAAATATTTTAAAATTAACTCATTTTTTATGGACATTATGAAATTTCTTAACCATACACATACTAGTATATTAACAATATTAACATTATCTTCAATACAACGAATGCATGAAATTTTGACAGGAAATTTTGGATGTAAAATTCTTATATTACAAATTTTCGATTTCTTCACAAATAGGTAAGTTAGATATAGTTTGATGACATTGTATTCTATATATTAACCTCTTTAGATCTTTTTCAAATAATTAATACCGGAGCAGGACACTGAAAGCATCGAAACAAATGACATTTACATCACGCTACATGGAGTAATTACAAATTACTACCGACGAAAATATGCATTTGAAAAAAACATTCCAATGTATATACGTATAGAAAATAATGCCGTTGGAAGAAAAGAAGTTTTCAAGATATCATGATTGACAACGATTTTATTAAATAAATATTGATCAAATAGCATTGCAAAAACTTTATACATATGGCACTGCGGCCCATTTTAAACATCATTTAGTATGTCAATTTCACCACGTTATATATTTAATAAAGAAAAACAACAAAAAACGTTAGCGTTACGTAATAAGTACATCCGCTCTACATGAGCTTAAGATCCAGTGTGGCAATGTTCTTTCTAGGCATTTTGCTTCGCATTTTAATGACTTTTTACGTTTTGCAAAGGGTTACTTATATAAAATCACGAAAAAATATTCTGCGTTAACTTTACAGTTCGCATATACACCCTTAAACAAGTACATATAATTAAACAGTTAACGTGTGTGCGAATATTTTGGTGAATAACATTTATTGACTCTGCTAATAAAAAGTTCATCTAGACTGAATCTATGAGATTATGTTATGTTAACATTCACTTTATTTAACTTATGTATTCAACTCATCATACAATAACGTAAACATCATTTATTCTCTATTCATTTAGAAATGTCTACTTTTATGGTTTTTTTTAAGATATTATTGTACTGGCCATAACTCGCACATACTAGTTTATATTCATTTTGTTGCCAGTCTATAAGTAAATTTATCAGGTCTACAAGGTTCGATTTGAGTATCTTGGGGCAGTCGTAAAGTAAATGCCCTTTGCTACTGAGGTTTGAATGCTTACGAAATAACCGTTTTACCCAACAAATCACTCACAAAATGATATTGTATACAACGGTGTTGCACATTATATTGCTCCTCACAGTCATAATGATTGCATTGTGAATGTAACAATAAATCAAACAGTAAAATGAAAAGAAAGTATTGAATATATTCATCTTTATTTACAAAAATAAAGTCATATCATAATAAGCGATACAGACGATACAGAGCAAAGTTAGCTACAAGTACATTCAATATCAAATAGCTACATTGATTACAGTTCATTTAACTTTTGTTCAACTAATCTTTGTTGTGTGTTTACAATCATGTCACATCATCCACAAAATTCATACTTATTGTAATCGGTGAAATATAATGTGTTACATGTCAAATCATTATACAAACGTCGTTCAATTTTGAAAAGAAATCGCAGAAGTCACTACAACTTAGTGCTCAATTGATTGTGAATTACGATACAAAACAATAATGTAAGTGTTCCTGTTCAGTGATATCAAGTGCATTGAATATTTGCAAGGTACATGTGCCACTAAGCACTACCATAAAAGTCAAAGATCCGATACGTGTAACAAATTTTCAGTTTTTCTTAATATATTAAAAAAGAAAAAAAAAACATTTTAAAATGTATGACTCTTTCTTTAGTTTGAATGAATCTTCTTCACTTTATACACTATCCTCTACAGAACCATTCAAGACTTCGTTCGAGAAGCATATGAAAACATGATAAATACTTTAAATGCTGAAAATATAATAATCATTTTAGATTGTGCACATTGATATGCAGTTTGAATTCTTTGTTGCAGTGAAATTATTGCTATACAACTTATGAGCAACTTTATTTATAAGATATGATATATGTACAATCGATGTAAATGAAGTTTCAGACAGCCGTCACTGGCAACAATATCACTTCCAGAGTCCATGCTTTCGTTAAAACAAATAACGATTATAAACTGTTTCCCGAATACAAATAGTCACAAATAATACCTTTCAGCAAATGAATGTATTCTAAGATTCCATAAACGCAACGAATATGTCTATTAAATATGCGAAAACAAATTCAAATATCAAACTTGATCCTTAAAACGGATTCAAACGAATGGATGAAACGCCACCAGCCAATTAAATACTAAATATTTTCAACTCGAGTGCGGCGTACAGTCTCCACAGCTTCGTTATCTATGTCTACTGTGTTCATCTCAATGGGCTCTTCAACATCGGCAGCATTTGTTTCATTTATTGACAATGTTATTCTGTGACGCAGGCGCTTTAATTTTTGTATTCCTCCGCCCAAGCCCAAAAGGAAAAACTCGTCTGTTCAATAAAAATGCTTTGTATATGTCATAAATTTCATTCACGAATGGGGCGATAATGATAAATATGGCTGCAATGAACGCCCATACTTTTGATACTGTAACCTGAAATATTTGAAAAACTGTTTTTTATTTCTATGTTTAAAAAATTAATTTTGATCTATTGACTTCAAACATATACACATATACATTAGCATTAGTTAGAAGTAATAAGTAAATAATACTCGTTAAAGATCCTGTAACACATTTTTTTCATGGTTTTATTTCATAAATATGATGCTCAAAGTAAGATTTGTCAATATTGTAAGTTCAAATAAGCATTATTTATAAAGATATTACCAAATTTAACATTTCATGTAAATAAAGGGAGGTAATTAGAAATATATTTTCTTTAAATTCTAAGTCAAAGTTTCCAATAAGAAATGAATACATGTAATTTATTGATTAAATATAATGTGCACAAATATTTGCAGGACACATTTTACATATTCTTTGATGTTTGAAAATTGTTTTATTTGCATAATTATACACATATATAATTTTTTGCAAGTGTGGTATACACACAGTTACAATATCAATCACAAAACATACAGGATCTTTAAGATTTTGTTTTTGTTGTTGTATATGTTTGTTTTATTCCAGTTGTTGCAAAGAAATTAATCGACATTGAAAAATTTGAAGAAAAGATTTTTACTTGATCATGTTTTAATGCTCCAACCCTTCTTTAAGTATAACTATTATTTTAGATTGAGACATCATTAAATCAGTAACTTTCAAGTATTATTTTGAAAATGTTACATACCCATTGATAAAATGAATTGAAATCCATAACTGAAACACCAATCACCATTATCAACGGCCAAAGTACTATTAGCATCGCTGTTGATGAAATTGATCCGATAAACCCAACCTTTTTTGCGAACTTAAAGGCAACTTGCACTTCTTCAAGTGTCGGCCGATTGTTCAAACGAGACGCGCCCGTTAAATGTAGATCCCTGAAACAAGTTAACATTTATGTTTTATAGTTCAGTCACAGATACCTTTACTTTTGTTAATGGAATAGGACTGAATGACCATTGATTGTTCTTATCTGTAACACTATACATACTAAACATCTATTAATACTTCACAAAAATTTTGATTAGTGTATAACACTGAGATTTTAGTATGACAAGTAACTAAACTAAACTGCCGACTAAGACTGTTACTGACCATATTAGTTTTTTATCTTCGTTTTCAAAAAAACATATGCATTTTTCTGTTTCTTAACGTGATTTCATATAAACACCAAGGGCTTAAAACTGCTACTTACATCTCGTAAAGTTCTGTCCATGGACTTAGGGGATTGTCTATGTCTCTTGTTTTCTCCCAAATGTCTGAACCTTCTTTATTTTTCCCCGACAACAAACTGACACAAACGGAAATAACAGCACCAGCTATTAACGACATCAAGTTTCCAAATAACATTGGAGTTTCCTTTGCTGAAAGGTGATTTTTGTCAAGGTCATTAAAGATATATTACCAGATAAATATAAACATTTCAACATTAAATAAGTAAGTGCTTGCTACACGTATAATATGATAATAAACATGCTTAAATAGGAGTGATATGATTACTAGCTGCAAAAAAAATCATAAATATCAAGCACATTTATGCCGTCAATTTGTTTGGGACATCTTTTACCTAGGGGCAATCCCTTGAGGTCTTGCAGCTGCCCGTCACCATAGCAAGCACCATCTTATATATCACTACATTATTTCATTTAAATATCGAACATTTAATGAAAATATCTTACATTTACCTGAAATGTTAATCAAGCATCGTATTTCTAATATTAAATTTAATTTTTCGATATATTACTAAATCAGATGTCATGACCAACACCGAAATTGTATGTACTTATTTACAACGAAAACTTAAAAGCCTTATTGATAGAGTGAATAATTTGTTATATTTGCTAAAACTTTTTAAAAATTGAAAGTCTGTAAATATTTGCTGTAAAGGGACAAAAACACTTTCAAGCTTAATATTCTAATTATATTTTTTTTTATCTTGAATTCTGCAACCTAAATCTGTAAATATGAAATATTTAGAATATGTATCGTTCGTACTAGCGTTGTCTTTGAAGTCCTCCAGACCTCCAGGATATGAAGCAGTCACAATAATCCATGTCATTAGCGCTAACACTGTTCCGCCTATACTTCCCGCAATCATTGCTAATCCTGTAAGACGCTCCCAAAACATTGACAACACTATTGGGACCACTGCAGAGTTGATTGTTACACCCATGAACAAGTACACGGTGGAAAGATTGATCTAAAATTATACGGTGGGTGTATATTATGTCATCTTAAGTAACTGAACCATTTGAAAAATAATTTTCATACTGTTGAAGACAGACATCACAATAAAAAATGCATATTTTTCCCGACGTTTCATTCTTCATGATTGAATAGAGTCATCAGATAAAAGGAAGTTTATCATGTTTTGCTTTAACAAAATTAACTATGTCCTAAAAATTTTAAAGAATTAAAGCCATTTGCTGAAGTATGCTGTATACCAAAATAAAGAAATTATTACTTGTAAGGTATGAAGAAGTATGGTAAGTGGTAAAATACAAAGAGTCGTCCAACACAATCCTCGGTTTTTCAGGCGTGAAAGATAATCTGTGTACTCGCGATAGGTTCCATGAACTCGACATGTGTACATAGGGGGAGGAACCCTCGAAGATTCACTTCGTGTCCTGAAAGAAACAAATATTTACGTTATATTCATGACATAACTAGTTATTATTCTTTATAAGGCAGTGTTGTTTAACATCTATAACGAGTGTAGTTCAATAAATTAAGAAACAGTAAGATAATAAATAATGATAAATAAACTTACTTGTTGTCAGTACGACAGTCGGCACATTCGGCCATACTTTCACATGTACACTTACTACGTGGACAAGCGTTTTGTCCACGCTCTTTTTCACACAATATGCATTTGTTGGAATCTAGTACCTTTCTGTAAGGCTGAAAGTCAGTAATTCCAAGTAAGTTTAATAGATGGTATAATTTAAAAGCAGGAAAAATAGCAGAAATGTTTCCAAAGCTTAATTTTACCAATACCTTTAGTGTTGAAAATTAAGAGAATCAAATGTTCCAGAACATAAAATTATTTTGCTATTTTAAGTAGGGTTCTATCCGTTTAGAAATCACTTTGTGCATGCGCCACTCGCTTAAAGACTATTTATTGCCATTTTTATTTTCATACAAGCATTTTGGAAGTATTTTTGTTTAAAATCCAAACAGTAATCATAAATATAGCTTTATACACTTAAACAATTCTAATAATGTTTTGCATCAACTACATTATACATACATGATATTTGTAAAACATGCCCTTTTTATAATAAAACACACTTGACCACTTTTTCTACTTTGCACAAATAAATACCCCTATTTTGTTTTTGTAGAAAAATAATACCTTTAGATACGTCTGAAAAATATCATAAACAACTATTGATGTAGCAGCGATAACTTCGGCAGAGCCAGTAGATACAACAGCCATTAGAACCATCACTATCACCATCATTTCACCAGCCTTACCAAACATTCTCTGTGCTACCACTGGTAGTACCAATCCTTAATGCAAAATGTCTTTTTTACTCAGAAAATATGAATGTATCTGTAGCAGAATAACGTCCATTAGATGAAAAGAAATTAATAAGATTTGTTTGTCTAGTAGTTAATTACTTTACTAAAGTAATGATTATTGCCAGGGTGAAGAATATTTGAATTGCGAATACAATTAACACCACAAAGGATTTTCTTTACCTGCATTAACATCAGTTTCATTGAGCAAAGGTTGGCCCTGCTGTGCACCCAGGGCTGTGTAGGCAAGACCCATAGTAGTTGCTAGTGCAAAAGGTATAGCGAACCAAACGAGGCCTCCGGCTAGAAACCCCAACACTCCTTGTCTAGGCTTTGCGGCTACACCACTCTGCCAGTACGCCTGATCTACGTATGTTGTCCCAAAACAACCTGTCAAAAATAAATATAGGTACGCTGAACAATACATATTAAAACTATAGAATAAACTCTTATACAGCACATTTCAATTTTCCATAGCTTTATTTTTGTATTTTGACAAAAGGTCATTGTTTTAATAAGATATATTTTCAGAAACAATTAGTACTTTAAACAAAGTATATTTTTTATATCTTTTTTCTAAATTATTTGATTACAAACATGCACTTTCATACCAGCGACATTTATAAGTCCAAACATAAATCCAGAGTTAGAAACAAGTGTCAGGTAGCTTTGTTCTTCATTCCCCTCTGGTCCGTCGCTGCAGGACAAATACTCAAATACTTTCTCTTCGGAGCCTAAATCAAATCGTACAAATGAATTGTAAGTGGACGCTGTTTCTTACTATGTGTGTGAAACGCACTTCATAGTTCAAACATTATTCTGAGTGTCATAATAAAAAAATCAATTTTAGTAAAATTGCATTTAACATTTTCAAAGGCTTTTAGGTTAATTTTCTAAAAATAAAAATAAAACAAGGCAACACTAACACATAAATGTATTGATATTTTCCGTTTCTGTTTTGTTTATTTTATGTGATGCAAAAATAACCTCTTGCATACACTATCGCGGCTGGTTTCGGTTTAATCTTTATCCACATCAGTTGTTTATAATTGATATGACCACTTATAAGCAGGTTAATGAGGTTATCCAGTAAGCAAATCATTCGTAAAAGGTGCTAGAATGACATCGTTGACACTAACATGGTTGGTTTATCTAATCTACCACCGATGATTAAACTATACAATCAAGTCTGATACGTCAGTTTAAATTGTTAAAATAATTATTGGAAGTAACGATACATACAAAACTAAAAGTGAAATTCTTTTATATAATTTCTTAACTGACATAAGGGTGTGGTATAGTACTGACAGGTAAGAAATACTCTCCGCTTGAAAAATAGTTTTAGTGATCTTCCTTATTTTGTCTTGTTATGATCGAAATGTTCTGACTATTTAGCATCGGTTTGTCGTTTTGATGCGGTAAAAATAGTCTGCGCATCAAAATTTCAAATCGGTGTAGTAAAATAGCCGATAGATACCGCTGTGACCGATATAATATCTCAAATTAAGGATGGCTTTTATTTTCATAGAACAACGATATGTTAGAATCTGCTCTTTTGACTTAATATTAAAAATAGTTTACTTTGAAGTATTTAAGTATATTGTTCATCATGAATATTGTTTTAGCAAAAAAAAAATATCAATTTGTAGCTTGACCACTAAAATTAATGGATTATAGTTCATCTTGTTATATTTTTCCCCGGACTCTATATTAAAGTGACATTATGCAAACAGTGAGAGTAAAGGTAAAAACAAAATAAGTTTACATTTTTACATATGTTTGTTTTCATTTTCATATTCCACTTTCAATGAATATTTAATAACTCATGTGGTACATGGAAATGTCAGAATATATCTATAACGCTGATTTAATAAAAAAAAATAGTGGTATAGTCATTTTATGCTTTTTTATATTTTATCCTTAACATTTGTATTCAGTTTTAGGTCTGTCACCATTAACATATCCACTCTTTTGAAAAGTATGGCTAATTCACCTAAAATAGACAACGAAAAATAAGCATTATGTCACTTTGCGACAAATCATAATACCAAATGTTTAGTCCTTGCTTGTTTCGCGTTCATTGCAGAAATATGAATTGTTTAGTGGAACTACGTTCCAAAGTGTACATCAATATTTATATGAACATATACATAAAAACATTTATAAGTTTGATAAAACCTACCTAGTGGATTACTAATATCATTTCCACTGTCATCGTACACACGTATTACAAATACCAACATCATCAGCATGATAATTGCTGTGTTGAAAAACGAGACATAAAATGTGGCACCTAGACCTCCTACATACGTGTATGTCCCTACAATAGCTGTCATTAACAAAGCCGCGTATTCTATCCCCATATCCTTTGTTAATCCAGATAAAACAGCCGACCCACCTGCAATACGAATGGTATTTGAATTGCTTTTCTTCAATTCTTTAATTATTGGAAAAAATACTACGACAAAATTGGTACTCTCATGAAATATTTGGCGAAATATTTTCATTTTTCTTTTACCTAAAATCTGAGAGCTCAAATCATCAAGTCAAAGCGTCAGTCGCAGAAAACAACCCTTGACAAAACCTAGCCATATGGATTATAAGTAAGGTATTTAGCAGAGCACCGACAAATGAAATGTTATCCACAAACAAAATATTAATTGATTGTATTTTTGAGAATGATTGGGTTTTGAGTTTTTACAACGTTCAGTTATGCTCCTTATCTAAATACCAAAATGCATCATTTACGCTTTGAGTAAGCAAGTTGTCAACATTTTCCGATATAACATTTGTTTTCATAATTTGAAAACTATTAAAATGGTATTTCTATAATTTACAAGTTACAAGTAGTTTGCTACATTTATGAAAAAAGTGCATTCTTCTATTGTCCCTATTTATTTATTTGGTTATATACATGGACGACACGAAGTGTTAGATTAGAAATGATTTGTTTAAAAAAATGGACTAACGTTTTAATTACAAAGTTGTGTCATTTATCAGTTTGTTGAAAGTCACACCAACGTTATCATTTAGAGAACTCATCACAATATGTAGATGAACCCTATACATCATTAACATCGTATGCTGTTTTTCTGACAATACTTCATACACCATGGAACCTTCTGATTCTTTTGATAGACAATCAATATTTTAACTTTACTGAATTAATCACTTATTAAAATTAATGTTTTATGAATTTAAAAAGAATGTGTATACTAACCTGTCATAGAGTTAGCTGTTACAATGATATTGGTAAGCAATGCATAAACCACAAAAACTTTGTGCGTATTTGATCCGAACCGGGCTTTAATCACTTGCAGAAATGTTTTGGCACCAGGGGCTCGAATCTTTAGTTGAACAGATACCATGGCAAACAGGAGGATTTGTATCGTTGCTCCTGCGGCATACCAAAATGGCCCACTTATCCCGTACTGAAAACAAAAAGAACGAGTATAGACATTGTTTCATCACATTGTAGCAAAGACCTTTAAAAACGTCTTAAAGAATTTTTCTTTTATATTAATTATATCTCTGTAATGTGCTAATGCTAATATATTTGTAAATTGCCATATCTTTCAAAATCATTTATTCTTGTACGTTAGTGTTGAAGATAGAACGCCGCTTAAACCAGTGCTAGAAGGCGCAACAGATCAAATGCATCACAGACGAGGGACGAAATTGTAATATTTCATTTCAAGAATGTAAAACATATATTTCGTGCAACAATTAATGATGTGGCGCAAAAGTGCATAATGATTTTCCCATAATTGCTATTTGAAAAAAGCAATTTACGTGCATAGTAGTAATTTGTGATCAGTAATGACCTTGGACGATATCCTTAATTGACGTGAACATTTTTAAACAAGTTTAAAGTGCAAGCTTTCAAAAATAAACTGTTACGTAAATCTCTATATTCGATGATTATTGCTCTTTACCATGAAAAGCTTTTCGTTTTTTTTCTACAAAGCATTGCTGAACGAATTAGATGACGAACAAAGAAACATCATTCTTGATTTACCTGCCGGTTAAACTGATATTTAGAAAGAAGTTCAAATACAAAAAAACCTAATTATTTGTCTTTTTTCATAAAGTAATTTATATCATTCACAACGCTTAAGTCATGAAAAAACTTCCTTGTCATAATGTTAGTCTAAATATTAGAGAGCTACTCCAAAACATCATATATGTAATTAAATACGATGTAAATTATCAGAGCTCTGTTGACATTGCCAATCTTAATATTTTCATACCTGACATCTTAGATCTTAGTTAACATAAACATTGTATATATCAAAAAGAGCGTTGGCGTATTAAGGGGAGGGGGTTTAGTAAAGGGGGCGATGGACTTGTGGTAAAGGTTTCCACCTCTCATGCTAAGAACCAATTGTTGTACACGACCAGGATCTCTCACATAACACACATCTCTTCACAATAAAATTTATAAATAAATTAATTTATAAATAATGTTTAAACCAAAATATCACACGTCATTTCATTCACCAAAAATCAATTTATCAGAAATGTCAAACATTCATTTAATAATATTTTGATAATGGATTAGGAAAATGTAAGATATCTAACAAGTGAAGAAGTAGCACAGAATATGAAAAAATGTGTTTGTAAAGGTAGCAAAATGGAAACAAATTAGTATTTTGACTTCAATACATTATTCTTATTCTCTGTAACAATGCCAATTGCTACCGTAGTAAACCAGCAAATTTTTAAGATAGTTTTTTGTATATGACAAGTGGGTATTTGTTTTGTAACAGTAACGAGGTACCTAAAATAAAATTAAAAAAGTTATTGAGAAATAAATGATGGCATTATGGGCAGTTAAAGACAAGACCGGTGAATGCCATTTATTTCAACTAAAAAAAGCGAACATAATATTTTTTACCTTATAACTTTGAGATAAAGAGATAAATTGCTTTAAACATAAAATCAAACATCAGTTATTTAATTATAATGATATATCGCATTTCTACTACTCGGCATTTCTGTTTCTGTAACCTTCTATAACCTTGACAATGAATTGACAATATCAGACTAAACTGATTTGAAAAAAGTCTGTTTTCCTTACATCGTATCTGATTATGAGATTTGATTGTATTCATTATTATCCTTGTAAGTAACATTTCAGCTTATCTTCTCATCCGTTTTTTTTGTAATCTAAATAATAATGATAATTTGATACTTTATTTTAACGGTTGTTTCTATGTATATGTCCAATGCTCAAGTCGACTTAATTGAATTGAGATGCCGTTAAAGAAAATCTCGTAGGAGACATTAAAACGGTTGTATCGATATGCATCAGTTAAAATATTAATATTGATATATATAATATAACTATTTCTTTCTACGTACTTGTGTAATAAAGTCGTACTTAAGTGCACAGCCATTAGCACTTACACTTGATAAAACTTATGATAATGTTCCATGTGTGTGCCATCAATAGGAATTTAAATGTCGTAATATGTCAATTATCATAATTAAAAGAGGTTTTTAAAAATTTACATGACTGCACAATGAATGCTAGAAATTTTTTACAAAAAATATACTTTCATTTTAAGAATTATTACGGATTTCATGATATAAATTGATATTCAAGTATTTATACCCTGGTTGAAGTCAAAATTTAGACTGATACAGTTCAATTGATTGCAGACGTACATTACAATCAGTGTAAGAATTAATGTGGTCGATAGCTTCCAATTTAAAGTCGTGAGAATTTTAACCGTCAGATAATAAAATTTCGCGGGCCACTTTTGGATCCGCGAGATTTTATGTATAAAGTGTCGCAGCTCAAGAAGACACTCTCGAGTTTTCCTGTCATGATACTTCTGTCGTTAAAAGTCGAATCTTACGAAGGAAACCGCGACATTTCCTGTCTACATAGTAGACTAAGCCACGCAAACATATGCCTACTTTAGGCAGCCTAATGCGACCATTATAATCCGCGATAATCTGTTCTGATACATACTCTGTAAAAAGTCAAGTTTGAGCATAAAGCCTAGACTTTTTATGCCTAGAAATGCCTCTGCGCAAAAAGTTATGGCTTATGAGTCAAACCAAGGGTGCTGCTGGGCGTTAAAGTAAAAAAAATGTTCCTTGCATATTCCAGCAATTGTTATAAAATATCGAGGTTTATACGTTCCCAGCGACATTTTGTACGATTTCGACAGAAAATCTCGCGGATTTTTAAGTTGCCCACGATATTTTATGATAAAACTATAAAATTTCTTGCGGGTTTGAAATGGCCGCAACCGGTCATCATACATAACAGAACACCTCAATTTCACCAGTGATTGGTTTTGCTTTTTAGGAATGAGAAGGAGGAAGTGGCATGTAGACGGAGAAATGTTTCCGAGAACAAACTTATCTTATCAATACTAGATATATTTTCGCTGAATATTTTGATAAGAAAATGCGGTACAGATGGAAAGTACATCAGACAGCTGCCATACAACAATTTTGTGAGTTTGAGGCCTTTTAGATAATAAATATTTTATATGATTTACAACATTGTTAAAATTACAAACTCTTTAATCTTTACTCGCATGTTTCTAGTGGAGGAAAATTAATTTGTAAATGTTAAGATACAAACTGAATTGTTTCTTTTAATCTTGCAATTGTTTTCTTTTTTAAATAAAATGATATTATTAAGCCCACAAGGTCATTAAGGCGAGACAAGTTAGTTCAAAGGCCCATTATTTTTCAAAAAAGCTTTTATCCGCATTTTTCAAATATTTTCTATTTTTTGCGTACTTTTATTATTTATTTGCCAATTATCTGAACCATCTTTTTCTTCTATTGGTTGTTGGCAATAAGTACAATTGTAATGATGTAATATTTTGCACGGAAGTTAAAATACTACTTTGTTCACATTTTGCTACTTTTATGCCAAGTACTTTCTAAATTAGCATACTTTACTTCATATGACATGCATCTAACATGCTCTAAAACCATTATATAAACGTTGTAATACTTATTTATATATTTCACAAAGTATATCTACGGAAGCGTATCAGGGCCTACAGTTGGTGAGATGTTTTGCGCTAAGTCGACTTATTTTTATTCGCATTGATAAGATGTTTTTGTATTTCTAAATAAAATTTACTGACAAAGATGAGAAGCTTTTAGGCATTGCAACTGAATTTTTCTCGAAATGTTTGAAGCTTTTGTCTCTTCGACAAAAAACCTGTCGAAACTTCTTGATTTCACGACTTTGCTGAAATATTTAGTAAGACACAAAGACGTTACTCGCATTGACAAATAGCTCACGAAATTCAACAAAGTTTTTTGCAATGATTAGAACCTTCTACGTATTACGTATTAATCATAACGTCTTCGTGGAATGTTTTATTTATTACGTATTAATCATAACGTCTTCTTGGAATGTTTTTGGTCAAATCGAGAAGAAACAAGTTGACATGACGTGAAACTTTTAGATAAGAGGAGGCCCTGATAAGCTTCCGTATATATCAACTTTATCTCACTTTATATTTGAAAGGTTAAGTTTGTGACATGATAATTTCCTTTTATAAAACTCTGATTATACTACCAATAATAAACACTTTTCCATGAAATATAATTGGTCTCCTCAAGAATACTATAGAACATTATGAGCTGAAAATATTTAAAGAGTAAAGAGGTACTCAAATGAAAACCAATGTAAAAAGTGTGTTTTATTTTTCAGAAAGAAAATAGGTATATGTTTGTTTTGTATAAAAAATAATAATTATAAAAATAAATAAATAAATACGATCGAATTCAACCCTTTATATGAATGAACGGAAATAAATACACTATTGTTTTGACTTTTTTGTTGCAAAACTATTCCAGTTTAAATTATGATGTATTTCTCATACATTCGACCGGTACCAAGGGGTGTAAGAGATGTTGCACCGTCATGGTCTCTCATGACCAGACTCAAGTAAATATATCAGAGATATTAAACGCATCTGTACGTTTTTGTTACCATTGCATAAGGGAGTTGGTGGGTCATCCTTAATGGCAATTTGAATACTGGTTTTCGAATCTTAAACATGATTGCTTTCAATATCTCGATAAATCATTTCAATATATCTATTATTCATTTAAAGCCATATTCCTTACAATTCATTTCTAATTTTCTTTTGTAATTAAATCATTGATTGATTCACTAAATCGGAATTTGATAATTAATTCAATAAATAACTCAAAGCAAATATCACATTTATTATTACATTCAAATATAAGAACTAAACGTTTTTTTATTTTCATTGACAGTAACATAATTTATAGCAAAATGTTTGCTTAACACATCATTTTGTAGTTTATATAGGATGTACTAAATTACTAAAATTAGTTTTACCTTGCTAGCAACGACACAGGAATAGAGAAGTGTTGCAGCCCAGGTCCATTGTGACACAATAGTTGTCGCAGTAAGTCCAACACTCACTTTTCCTCCTGCATCAAAAGCTGTATCTAGAGTGTTCTGAAAATGAAGCAGATACAAATGTTCATGAAATGTTATTTTTTCGCCCTTTCCTATATCAATAATTGACAGTGTTTTTGGTCTTGTTGTTATTTTCATGATTAATAAGAAAGTTTCTTTTGATAAAAATATGCATCAGTTGGCATTTTGAATCAGACAATGTTTGTATTGTTGAAAAAAATCAAATAAAAGGAAAGATGTCACATGAACGTATTCATTTATTTACCTAAAGTATCGCAAACCAACTTAATGAGGAATTAAATAAGACAACATTGTTGTATGTTTAACGGGAAATTTCGTCCTTTTAGAGAACGAATCAAAAGCATGTAAATGATGTTTAGTTCCTGTTATAAAGACATCATGATAGTTCGCTATTCTAAGTAATTTTACCTCGATAAGTTCATCTGGCATGATTGTTATCATATTTCCTTTCATGGTTGCTAAATGAAAAATTACTATCTTCATGAGATAAAATAGCCTAATTGAATACTGACGTTTTGAAGACTTTCTCAAACAAATTTAAATTTTATAAGTTCATAAGACCTTCATAAATAGAATACCGTGATATTTCCCAATCCGATAGCGTTGTTGCCTCTTTAAATTCATTCTTATTATATTATTTCTTTTCATGAAATTATCTTATTGCACGAATTTTTGTTTTATTTTTAGAAATTTGGCAATGTAAATTTATTAGTGTTTATGAAAATTTCCATCTATTTTTCAAAGATTGTAGAAATGTTAACAAAATATTTTTTGCGTAATATACAAAAAAAGGATATAAAATGTAAACATATTCTAGAAATCAGCCTAAAATAATTAGGTTTTGAAATGTTCATACCCACTCCCTCCATATATTTTTCTTTATCTATGGTACCTAATAAATTCAGTTTCCGTTGTATAAATTTCTATATCAGAAAATTAATTTAAATGTAAAAGGCCTAAAATTGGCACATTTTCCATAAGGACTATATTTAAAATATTGATGAAAACAATAGAAATGCATCATTTTGATATTTTTTATAAATGCTGCTTAAAAAAAAGATGATAAAATATGATAAACAAGATCAACAAGGAAAGGCGGCGTTCACAAAGTTCTAAGTGATTCAGGATGAATATGTATCTTGTAAATAATATTTTGTTCCAGAACACTTTTTTTCTGCTATATAAATAAAATACTGTAATATCGGATTATGTTCTTCACATTTGCCAACAGTTTTCATAATAATTCTTTTATGGTTTGTTGTTATTGCAAATACTAAATACTATCAAAGAAGATATTCATTCTCTTACAGACTTTTTCATTATAGACCAATTCATTTTAAAATGGTATCTAAATTATAATTTCAAGAATCAAAATATTCATCAAGGAAATTAATATTGATATCCATATTATATTGATTACCAAGGCAATTAATTAAATGACGAACAATAAATTTAAAACAGCGCACTTTGATGTACTGGTGTTTGAATTAAAATAAAGCTTTGCAGTTTGTTTTTAATTGTTAGAATGATTCTTTTGAATTTGTCAGTCACAAATAGCATGTGTTACTGTATGGCTTGATCTGTTTTGCATTTATAGTAGTTCAGTTGTATGACTTTAAATATATATCATACAAAAAAACCTGACATTATCTAGATACAAATATAATGCAATTAAAATATTTTTAATATTCACGGAGTTTTAAATTTCTTTTCATATTTTATGTACAATAACAAAATCGAAAAAAGCTGTTGATAAAAAATAATTTATTAGACCATGCTTTTCAGTTCTTTTTATAATTACATGTACTTCAAACGTGCAAAGATTTTACTTTAAAACCATAATCTTTAATTATCATAATTTACAGAAGACATACGTTGTGTTTGGTCAATAACACTAGAATGTTTTTTATTTATTTTCCATTGACATTTTTAAAAGTGGGACAAATTTTAATTCTAATATGGTAGTTTTGGTGAATTTTAAATTTAGAAACATCAGCGGATGTGCTCATACGGCGGTTATTATTTCGTGTAAGTCATTTCCTTTTGATTTCTTAAAAAGAACTATATATATATATTCGCACCTGGTCTTTATAAACATGCTTCCGTATGAATTTAAAAATAAAAGCAACAACAGTAGCAAATGTTCCAAATCCAACAACTAATAACAATGTTTCATGAAGCTCAATAGAGGGCACCAATCCTTGAACAACAGTATAATTCCCACGTGCAAAAAGTGCCTGGCACTCACTTGAGTTCGACCTAAGCATTGTGTTTGTTAAGATATACGAGTATATTTATTTCAAATTATTTTAGAATACAAAATACAACTAATTCACTGCCGCTTTTAATCCAAATGATATACCTCTGACGATTTTTTTATATTTTAGCAACGATAAGTTAAACTACTTAAACTAAACTAATTCAAACTAATTAAACGTCATTGTCAAATAATCTCCTTATCCGAATCATTGAATATGTATATTATATATATATATTTTTTTCTACGGAAGACCGATGGGGACATTTCAGCTTCATGAATTCCCGATATCATATTCGTGAAATCACAACTTTAACTGTGTTAGTTCTCGTTTTCAAAATACGGAATTTAAGAATTCACGATTTCAACTTCACTAATTCAATATTTCAACTTCATGAATTCAGTATTTCAACGTCACGAATAAAACCATGCTAATTCGCGTTGTGAAATTGTGAATTCACTAAGTTGAAATCGTGAAATTCAAAACCAGAATCCATGAAGTTATTGTCGAGGCAAAAAAAGTCGTCCTGAACATTGAAAAAAGTTACATCTCCAATCCTTTAAGATCGTTCAGTACGATTTTTTTTATGTAACAGTTTTGTGTCCCTTCTTGGTTTGTCGTCAACGGTAGCTATCCACTTTTTTCAAACTTGTCCCCGGCTTTTTGGTCCCTTCCCCTACTCCACCCTTATCCCTTTTTGTCTTTATAATTAATATTCATAATTTATTGTTTTCTTTAATGTCTTTGTCTAGTATCGTCAATAAACAGCCTCAATCAAACCGAGTCTGCAACAATTTCAATCTTGTCGTTTTGGACGTTCTTTATTCTATGATTTCTTATATTGAATTGTTATCAATAACGCCCCGTCCGTGCTTTACCCTTGTGCCATTTCATATTTGTGTTTAATGACATGCTGGGCTCTTTTCTGGTGGTCCTGTCACTGCAAAAATATATAGATATACGGAAGTGTATGGGTCATTAATATTAGGGTAATTTTACGAGACATGTGAGATACGGAAATGTACGGCGAGTCCGTACACAGTATGACTTACATATATGTACGGTGATCTGTATCCTCGTAATGTACGGGAACATTTCAGTACGAAAGTTGTAGAACAAGCCCGTATACTACTAAAACCGGAATGCAGTATTCTTAAAAATACAGACACTGTATATAGAGAATTAAAATTTACTTCTGAATTATCAAGTTCCTACAAGAGGAAACAAATCTATCATTTTTCAGGCATTGTCTGTATAACATGAAATATTAAAGCTTTAAATCAATGGAAAATTTCCTTGATTTATTAACATGTAAATTGTTTACTGATAACAGAACATGTAAAACATCGATAGATCTTTGACAGCGTCAAAATGACTATATTTAAATATCTCTTTGTTTGTATAAGATATACAACGGAACAGGGTATACTAGCTCAAAAACACTTCGTTTGCGTTTTTGCACATACATTTTTGCACATTCATGCTGTTTAACATCCGCAGATATGTTTTACATCATTTCAGCACATGTCATGTCTGAAGTACACAAATTTTGAGTTTTGCTGTTCAAATAACTTCAACGTTACCACAAATTTGGCTATGCAGCTGATAATGTATTATAATTGTGAGTAATGTTTTGTATTCTGTGTTTATGATGAATCTTGTTAATTTGAATTTAACATTGTTATTTTTATCATTATAACATTTAAAAATTATAATTAGGAAAAAGAGATAAATTGTATGAAGCTTTTGTTTTTTTAAACCTAAGAGTCGGATGTGCTTTTTAATTCAATGCCTATAAGCTGCCGTTTCAAACAAAACTGTTGCTTAACTTTATTAAAATAATTTTAATTTAGCTAAATTGTTGATATGAGCGTATATTATATTATGTCAATATATTTTTCGTTGTTATTTGAGTTAGACTCTGTCAAATCGTTGTAATAATAAACTAATAAGTGAAAGACTGGAAACATTGGTCACTCAGAATATATCACTAATAGTGTTATAGCTTTGGTCATTTTTTTGTGGCCTACGTAATAATTTATGATTGAATTTTCTTATAAATGTATTGAATATTGTGTATTGTTCTTTAAAGCATAGTTCTCTATTCAAATACAATTACCATACTTAAACAAGTAACATTTTGACCACAATGGTGGCGGTTTTCAGCATTTTAAAGATATCGGTATATATAGTTCTTTTTTCATAGCGTAAATGGTAAGTAAAAACCTCAATAAGGCTTAATAAAGCGCTAATAAAAATTTTCAAGGAACATTAAAGCCCTGATAAAACACTCTCCTAATCGTATTTTCTACCACAAGAAAGAGTACTTGAAGTCGACAAATGTACTCTCATCTACTCAAGTATATACACTTGATATAATGTCCTTGCAATAGGGAACACTTTCAGGGGTAACTTACTTTAAATAATCAAACACTTATCACATTTATGCTTTTCAATGTTATTTAATTTCCAGTTTCAAGATGTATTCTAAGATTTTCCATTTATCTATAATTGTAATATATTGTGGCTGATATATAAATTCTCTTATTTGAATAAACAAGAATAAATAGAAGAAGGAAGATATCACCTCAAGTGGATATCATTGTTCAATATAACGGACATTTCAAATAAAAGTATATAATTAAGAGACCATTTTTCTGTGTATTGGATAAGCGGATAAGACGCTTGAAGTTGTTGACATTCCGTCCTGCTTTATATAAAACAGGGAAATAATGATATAATAAAAATTGAGGATATTGAAGTTTCCTTTTTCTATAGATACATAATGATTAATATGCATTTTCATCGAGTGGTACATGTATGAACATAAATATTTCATGAGCTGCAGTAGCAACGAGTGAAATAGGATAATTTTATTCAACAAGATGAAAATCAATCCCCTATAATTACAGAAAAACTTAGATTTTCTGTTTATAACGCGTATATCTTTTTTTAACTTTTACATTTTTATTTCAAAGAATTCCCTTTAAATTGAGTGTATTGGATTATTGTAAAAGAAACTAGTTCGGCAAAATACCAGTGAAAATACGGAAAAAAATGTTTCACTGCAGTAACAAAATATCTTTTAATTGAAAATACGGAAATACGGGAAATGAAATGAAAAGCATGCATTGACATGTAGGTGAAAAAATATTTTAAAAAATCCGACACCATATGGTTTATTTATGTATAGGCAGAATTGCTCGTAACGGTTTATCGTAATGCCTTGATAATTAATTAATTAATGTTCTTATGGCACAATCCAAATCATCTAACAATACAAAACTTTTAAAGATACATTTCTTCAAAACGACTTTGTTCTTTGTTTCTAAAAATCAACGATAAATTGAAAAATCCATATGTTTCATGACAGTGCTATGCATCAGCAGCTCTTACAGCGATGTGTTTTGTATAAAATGGGATACAGTTTCCCTTTAGGTGGTTAATTCTGTGTTCTCAACGCCGATCAGATCAACTCGATCAAGCACGTTCAAGCGATCGGGTATCGGTCTGCATGCGTGATCGGGGGTGGTCGGAGCGGACTACCTTGGTCGGCATGGCTCGGACTTTCTACCCGAATTTTTTTTTACATGTCAAAAAATTCGAGTAGCGATCGAGTAGATAAGCGGTCGAGAAGCGATCGTATAGTAATCGAGTAGAAGATCTAGTTGATCGAGAATAAATCGTGTAACGATCTACTTTGGTCGGGTATACATCTCTTACCCGATCTGTACAGAATCATCTCGACTTCTACTCGAGCATTATCCGATCGCATCCCGATCAACTCGACCTCTGTTCGATCTATTGTCCAGAATAACTATAGACTACTACCCGACTGCTACAAGACGACACACGATCGCTTCCCGATAGTTATTCGACCATAGACGAGTTCACGTGACCTATAGATGTAGACTTTTTGTTGGTGTCTCATTAGCTGTTACAAATTTGAAGATAGAGCATGCAGTAAGAGTAGTAGGACATGTACAATGTAGTCAGAAGTACCTATTGAAACGGAAGAGCAGGTGCTAGAAAATACTCTATTACAGCCATATTATAGCCCTGACCCTCTGAAGCTCTAACCATCTGGACCACAACTGCAACTGCTCAATCTCCATCACGAACTGAATTGAACCAGGAATGTTAGAAGAAATTTTTCTTAATAATTCGATACACGACTATGCACGACTCGATTACGATCATTACGATCTGGTCGGTTTGAAATCTGGTAACGATCGAGCAGAGGTCCAGTTAGTCTAGTTGAGATCGTGAATGGCTCGTGTATAGGTCTGGGAGATCGAGAAGAAGTCGGGATATTGGTCGGGTTGTCGTCGAGAAGAAGTCATAATACATCGTGTAGGGTCGACTTGAGATCGTGTTGGAGTCGTTAATGTGCATTTAATCCAGCTTGGTCGGGCTTCATCGGGGAATTAATGTAATCGGGACGATCGAGTTGATCTGATCGGCGGTGAGAACATACCAAAATCTACTTAATACCAAACTATTAAAGCTAGAGTAACTAATCATTATCTTATCAAAATATTTGTAAGTTTGACACATGTTTATTTTCCTTCAAGCAGAATCTATGAACATTGAATGGCTTACTGAAAATATTATGTAGATTAATATTATTTCCAGTCATTCAACAGCTGAATGGATGTATCCTTAAATAACCCTGTAGCAGTTTGTTGCATTAGAAAATGAGAAAGTATTCATCAAAATGCTCATACCGTGCTGACAGCATAATTTACTTTCTGATGAAAGCTTTGATATCAATAAAACACTGAAGGAAGTAAAATCATATTCTGTTATGTTATACATGGCAAATAAAAAGCTTAACATGTATAAATGTTATTGCATTCTATTTCTGCGAATGTTTGCATCTTTATACATAATTATACATTATAATAAAATGGCAGCGAAGGAAGGAATGGTCAGCTGTGCACTGCTACCTAAAAAAATGCTAGCTAGACTAATGTCTGTGTAGATGTTGTTGAGAAAAGGGGGAACCTTATCATACGTCCGTACTAGTAGTACTTGTTTTATAATGTGACAAGTCGGGTAGGCTTCAGTCAAGTTCGTGAT